ATTTTCAGAAACTAATTAAATTTTTAGTTTGAAATTAACGTCACACCCTGGAGGGTATGTTATTTTACAATTAAAAAATGTGAACAAAGTCAACAAAAAATGACATTTTTTATTAAAAAAAGACTAAAATGTCTAAAAACAGACATTTAATACTAATTATTACCTAAAAAACCTGTCACAAAAATAAAATTCATGTAAAAATTTAAATTTTGGGATTTTTTTGCCAAAAACCAAAATTTTAAAATCCTTCAAAACATTTCAAATCAACCCCCGCAATTTCAACATTACAGTGTACAAAACTCAAGAACAAGTTATGCATCATTATGAGCAAACAAAGTGCAAAATCCGACAAAGCACGAGGCACAAAAGATAACATAATAAAGGAAAACCGAGGACAAAGCAGCTGCCCAAGGGGTTTTTCTCTAAAAATTAAAACTTTTTATAAAAAATTTCGTTTTGCACATGAATTATCCATGAATGGGTTTGGTTTTTCATGGTTTAGGTGAAGGTTTAACAGGTAATGCCAAGTTAAATTCTAAAACACTACCTCCTGCCCTGCGTCCAAACCTGGTCCTGAAGTCGAGCTTTAACAACATAAAAATTTAAAAAATTTAAATTACGCTACTTTATGATTAAGATCTCTACAGTCTGCAAATTCCTTTAAATTTTAAGCTTTGAAATCCCTTGACCTTGAACTAAATAACCTCCTTCTTTACGTCATTAGCTCAAATTTTCAAGAAATGTGGACAAAAAGTCTGTAGAATCTTTAATTCGATACAGGCTTCATCCCTCACCTCATTTTCTCTTTACTTTTCAACCAAATCCATGAACTTTTTGACCAAGTCCAATAGCTTTCAAGCCAAAAAACCCATGTTTCAGCTTCTAAACCGGATCAAAACAAAAAAACCCTCGTGTGAACTTGTTAAAATTATAATTGACAAACAAAAACAAGGAGCAGATGGTTTAAGAAGAGCCGGAAGAGTCCACCCACCCTCACTCAAACCGAAATTAATCAAACTGTCCAACATAGAGCCCCAAAAATACTTGCAACCCGTCTTTAATGGTCTTTATTCCACGTCAATGGTTTCGAGATTAATGGCCGACGAAAAACTTTTCAAACTTATTTATATTAAGTTGGCAGTGGCATTTTGAAGAGATTAAGGCTCTTATTGTCACTTTTTAAATTTAAAATATTTAATAAGATATCATAAAATACAGAGACAGAATCTGATGCTATGACCAATAAGTTAATTTATATATATACCTTACCATTCAAAACATTCTACTGTAACAAACATATCATCCTTCATAAAAAAAGACTTTAATATGGCATAAAAATTAATGATAAATAATGAAATGGCATAATAACCTAATAATAACGTTCTAGAATAATATGTAAAATAAAGTTTATTTTTAAAAATTTATTCTTTTAATGATTTGCCAGTAGTAATTGATGTGACGAACGCAGAAGACATCGCCAGCGGTCCACGATCTTAGTTTTCGAAGCCACAAACAAACCCACCACGCTGACCATGTACCTTGTTTAGACTGAAAATATCACATTAAATTTACAGTGTCTACAAAATTTAAAATGAATAAACAATTGTTTTTTTAATCTTACAAAATATGGCACCTCAGTTTAGACCTGAATCCTTTTTTAATACTCTAAATTATGCGACGCCCACAATGTCTTTTAAAAGCTATTTTTACAACAAATCGTTATAAAAGTTACCTATACGCCACATTTAACACACTTCTAATAACATACTTGCCAATGTTTTGTAAGCCATAAAAAACTGGTCCTGAGGGTAGCCCCACTCTCCAGATGGTCTTTCCAGGACACTTTCCACGTCAACAATGTCGAGTCGTCTTTTATAGTCCTCTAACACTTCCATCGGCAAGTCGAGCACTTCCACCACACAAGCTTATGTGAACTTGGCTGTTTCCATCTGAGTTTGGAATGGGTCAGGTTCCATTCTTCAACTTAGTTCAGTTCTGTCTAAAATAACATTATAAAAACAAGGTTAAAAACAATTTACACGTATTATTAAAGATTTAAAAAATTGCTAAAATATCATTAGATGTAACAACTACGTTGTGACAGCCGCCCGTTTAACTGCTGACAAAATACAGTTACAAATTCAACTGTTTACACCATTTTAACTTTCCCATTATAATAAAAAGCCAGAATTCATACAGTAGCCAAAAATTGTGTAGAATTAGCCTGTATTTGTAAAAATTTCAAAAATTTGAACAGAAGTTTGAAATCAAAATTATAAGTTTACAATGAGTTCAAAATAACAGTTTAACTACGGTAATGAATTTATTTTTGATTTACTATCATTTCATACTATTTCAGCTCATAATTTTTGAATATTCAAAATTGACATTTACCTTAACATATTACATAATAAGGTCCCTTGGATTGATAAAGCAAGCGTTATCCTCAAGCTATAGACCGCTTAGCGTCTGCGCAGAAGGTGCTGCTACCTCCGCCTAAATACTCCATTCGTTCGTTTATAGGTTTTAATGATTTACGTTTCAAGGGATATTGTGGTTGTTTCAAGAGGGTTCTAATAATTTTTTAACATGTTTTTTAAACCAGTTTTTTTGTTAGAGAAGGATTGGGTGATATATTAGAAAAGAGCTTAATTTTTTTGGTTGTAAGTTTAAATTGGATTTCCTGAATTCTGGGATGTTTTAACTGTATTACAGTAAAGTTCTTTAGTAATTTGTATTTGAAATTAGGTTTTTTGGGTTTTAATTGTTTTTAAAACATATTTCTGGGTTTTTTTAAAGAAGGGTTCGGTAAAAGTGCCAAACTAGGTACTGCATTTTTATACATATATGTAATTACAATAATGACTTTTTTCTTGTTTTATGATTCGTAGTTTAACGTCTCAATCCAATCGTCTGCCCACTCTTACTAACGCTGATTTTAAAAGCTTTGGTACCGATATTGAAAAAGTAGCGCTCTCGTCTCACTTCAAAAAGTTGTAGGTCGGACACGGCCTCCGCTCCACTCGGAGCGGAACCTGATGCCGCCTCCTTTTTCTCCCTCTACCCTACTGTCAAGACCTTGACATGTAGGGCTTCCTGGGCCTATACCTTGGGTTCCCCTTGGGTTCAGGCCCTGGGCTAGCCTGGACCGGCCCAAAAGTTGGCCTAGCCTGGCCTTCAATTTCCCTCCCCACTTTAGTTTGATCTTGGCTGGCCTGGGCCAGCGACTGAGCCTGGAAGGCTCAGTCTAACTCCCAAAACGTGTCCCTAAAAACCCCAACCTTCTTCCCTGTAGACGTTGATCGACATTATCGGCTTAAATAGCAGATAATGTAATGGCCTGTAGCCAGCCCACCATCTGCCCGATCCGGCCGCCTTCTGCTTATCAGCGCTCTCTGCCTTCTCTTTATTGAAGAGGGCGCAGATGGCTGCAGAAGAAGGCCAGATTGCAGGCCTAGTCGATGTTTTCTGTATTTTCAGAAATGATTAAAATACTTGAAACCTCACTAAAAATTCACAAATTAATTATTCAAGTTACAGCCTGCATACAAGTCTAATTACAACTAATTTCGTCTATTTCCCTATCGTTGACTCTTCTGAAGTACTTAAGGTACTCCTTAAAGCTCCTGCTGAAGCCAACTCTTCTCCTGATCACATTCCGTACATCTTTAAAAAATGCAATTATATCTCTTTTTAAACCTATTACTTCACTTATTATCTTGTCATTTTAACAAGCAACTGTATCTTCTCAATTAGGGGTGAGAAACAAGCCGGGTCTATTTTTAAAACCCGATCCGTTTTCATTTTTACATCAGACCGGCCCGATTTTTTTCAAACAAACGGGCCGGGCTTTTTCGGGAAAAAATCAGGTCCGGCCCAACCAAAATTTAGCTCAAGTTCGGCCCGGCCCGTTTCTCACCCCCATTCTATTTAAATGGACTCACGAAATTGTTATTCCAGTGCCCAAAAAAGGAGATATATCGTTTATAAATTTAGAAAGAAATAGTTTTTGCTAGTTAAAAACGTTAGATCTAGAAATCTGTTACTGTTAACTAAAACCTACTATGCCTACGTTCTTCCTTTGCTTAGATTTTTTTCCTATCTTTCGACCTTATCTATCAAAGGATATAGTTTATTCAATGCTGTTCAAACGCTAGGTAGTAAAATGATCTTAGCACGCTGTTCTTTTGCGTATTTACCTTACAATGAAAGACAACCACGAGTAAAATTTCAATCGCTTAATGATAGATATAAGGGACGAGCTAAATAAATCGGATGGAAAGTATCAGACAAAAAATGCAATTCCTTGTCTGATATTTTTTTCAACGATCTTTTTTTTCTCTAACTGCCATCGGCAACGAGAGGAAAAAAAAAGATAGCGAGAAAATGAGAGACGAAAATATCAGACAAGAAATCGCATTTTTTGTCTGATACTTTCCATCCGATGTATTTAGCTCGTCCCTTATATTGTAAAGCTGACCTCAAAATTAAAAACATTTAACTAATCCAAGTATCGTTTCTAACTCGCTTCATCCGAAATATGCTAAATTCGAGCTAAGGCTTGCTGAGGTGCTCCTGCTCCTCGAAAGTTCAGGGCATAGTCTGAAGCCAGTGTAGGCCGACCTACAGATTTCCCGTAGCCCCGTGCACTCTTTTATTAAATTAAAAATGTGTTAAATTAAAAATGTGCCTGTGTTGGCGATCGGTCAAACCTGATACGGTGGTTTATTGGTTGTCATTACAACATACGGAATACCAATAGCAAACTTACTGTAAAAAAGAAAAAATAGTAGTTTTTTTAAACCGTCAGTATTTAAAATATGAAAATTGTATGATTGCATTTGTTAATTTCACCGGATTAATTCTTCCTCATTGTTTCTTAAATTATTTTTTACATTTTTACTGTTAACAAAATACCGTGAGTAGTAAAAAAAAAGAATGATAGCTGTGTTAAGATCTTTAAAAAATAATTTTTTTTGCTATTTCAGAAATATTATAAAATGTCATTCAACAACCAAGGATCTGGATGGGACGAGGACTACTACGTATCGGATAGCGACTCAGGATTTGCACCGTCCGTAGATGTCGTGGGCGGGTATGTGATGGAATGGGAAGAGACTCCCCCATACCCAGAAAGTTGTGAGTATGAAGAAGAGGATGAAGAGGAATTCAAGATCAGCCCAAGGTTGATGCAATACTACGAAGACTGCAGATGGGTCAGAGAATGTCACGCCATCGAATACCTTGATGCAGAAGACGAAATAAACAAGAAGGCTGAGCAGTATAGAAGAGAACTGCGCGCAAATGAACTGAGGTAAGAATTTACATTTTGAAATCTTTTAATTTACGTTAGGTTGTGATCTTTGTTATTTGAAACTTATTTTTTCGTTATAGCCAAGCTAAAAAGTGTGCCGGAACGTCAAAGGCCACAGCGTTCCGCTGGCTGTTTAAAGCCTTGAAAGCTGGCATAGAGCACCATCTCAACACCGATGGGCTTCGTCAAACAGGTCCGGATGGAGCACTTCTTGACTACACAGTGCTCCAACCGACCAACTACGGGATACGAAGGGCCTGCAGAGCCATTCGTAAATTGTCCATGGAAAATGGCCCAACGTTTAAAGCACTAAACAAAATAATGTTAGTGTTTTCTGAAAAGTAAGCCTTAAAACCTCTTTTTTTTGTATTTTCAAGTACTAGTTAGAAAATAATAACAAAAACTTATTTAGGAAACAACTAACAGATGCCAGAAAAGAAGCAAACGAAGAACTGCTAGAGCTGCTCCAAAAACAGCTGAGTGCCAAGTTCCGTGGATGGTCATTGACCCCATATGGGGGGTCACATAATGGATTCGGCGAACAAGGTTCGGATATGGACATATCGCTGCACAAAATAAAGCAGTAAGTTAACAAAACAATAACGATACAAAAAAATTTTATAATTAGCAAGTTAAACATATAATTTATGTATTTTAGATTTAAGAAGGAGACTACCGTAACAGAAGTGGCCAAGATATTCAACGCCAAGAAGAACCGAATGATCTCAAAAATGAGAAAGCACCCAACTGTCCTGGAAAAAGCTAGAGTAAGTTGTTAAAAAAACATAACTAAATAAGTTTTTAATTTTTAAAGGACAAGCGTAATTTTAAATTATTTTCAGGTCCCGCTTGTGAAGATGGTGTTCGATAGGAACGGCACGGAAATGGAAGTCGACCTTTCAATTGGCAACGAACTGGGCGCGAAGAATACAAAATATCTCAAATTGTATTCCTTGTAAGTTTTTAGAATGAAGTACCGTTAGTTTTTTAAACTTAAAAGCCTTATTTTCATAAAAGACGTTGTTTTAACACATTATTCTAGGTTTGACCCACGTGTTGTACAGTTAAACACGATCATCAAACACTGGGCAAAACATCATGGGTTGCACGGTGGAAAAGATAGATGTTTCAACACGTACAGCATCGTGATCCTGGTAATAAATTACCTTCAAAAGGGAGTACGACCAGCCATGTTGCCACACATAGCGCCTGATGTGGCAGAAACGCTATCAACAGAACAAGAAATGGAGAAGTATGTAAAAAATTTGAAATTTGGTAAGTCTTTCAACATTAGAAATCTACAGCATTTAAACAAATTTTACTAAAGGTTAGGTATAAATACATCACGTTTAAATTTATTCTGCTTCAGATCCAAAAAAGCAGAAGATGACATTGGCCGAACTCGTAGTTGGCTTCATGACGTTCTACGCCGTATTCGACAGCTACGAGTGGCAAGTCGACATCAGAACACTGGACATACCAAGCCGGTACAACATGACCAAGAACGAGTTTGACGGACACGCGGCGCTAAACATTCTGTGCCCAGTCGGTGGTCAAGACCCGACCAGAAATGTGAGCGTTTACTGCCACAAGGAATTCAAGAAGGCAATAGACGAGTTCAACGAGCTTGTGTGGATAAAAATGGCAAAAGATGGAAAAATGGACCATCCAGAAGTCATAAAAACTTTAGGTATTAATTAGTATTGTATTATTGTTGTTTTACTTGTATTTAACAACTATTGTTCTTGAGGATTGTTTTGTGTATTATAGTTGCTTTATTGTTATTTGTATTGTCTTTCTCTATTTCATAAATTATTCCGTGAGCTTCCATTTTTACCGGTTCAAATTGTTAACTCAGGTTATATATTATCTTACAGTTAATTGTTGTCTGTACTTATTTAATATAACGGTGTGCCTCAAACTTTTATGCTAAAGACATATTATTACATATTTCTGTTATATTAAAATAAATTTACGAATAAAACCCATTAATACACACAAAAGTTAAAACCCCCTACTGTAACATAAAAGACCCGTATTTTACTTTAAAAAGCATTCTCCTTCCCGTCTTTACCCACAAGAACGGAAGAAAATAATATAACGACAAATTTTACTAAAATCTACACTTTTTGCAACTCAAAATGAATCAAATTTACACATACCAAAGATGTCAGCCACTTATTTAGCGATAGGAAGAGCTTTGTGAAGCACAAATCCATTGTGATCCAACATTGGCAATGACTTGAGCTCGGATTCTGAAAATATAGACATAATAAGTAACAAAATTTGCAAAACAATAAGCCTAAAAAATGAAAAATAGGTATAAAAGTGTAAACTTACTGTACTTTGCTAGCCAATCAGAATCCTTGATCCGGATGTCTTCAAAAGGCTCGTTGACATAATGAAACATCATTCGAATCGGTTCTCCAAGAACTCGGACGTCAAAGAAGTAAAATTTGAAGCTACCGTACTGAAAGTAAGGTAAAATAACCTGATGTTGATCAATAAATAGTTTTTTTCAAAACAGAATCTTAATTATACTTTAAACTCGCTTCAAAAATACCGAATGCTGAATTTTGTCGCTGAAAAAGAGAAAATTGTAAACTTAAAACAAGGTCCGCGATAGAATCGAACATGGGTCAAACAGGGGCGGACCATGAAAAAAAAATTAATTTTTTAAAAATCTTATTTAGCGACCACAGGTAGTCCTAAGGACTAGTAATTCAAAAATGCAAAAAAAATTTCTAATTTTGGGTTACTGTAGGTGTACTGTAGTCTTTTAAAATTTTATGCAACTTTTTAACTAATTGACAGAATTTCACCGGACTTTTTTTAAATGATAGAACACGTCAAACTAGGTAATATGGCTGTCGACAAGTTTTTCCGTTTATGCCCGGAAGGCATCGAAAAATTTAAATATAAATTTTAATAAAAATTTTAAAAAATCAAAATTTTTTCAAAAAAAAGTCGTTGTGTGACCGACTTCTGGCACTAGATAATGAAACTAGAGGTTCTTGCGCTTCAAATGGTTCTACTCTCCAAGTGAAACAATGGCACCAAAGTACTGTAACAAGCTTCCAAATACGACAAACTGTAGTCACTAAAAAATTTAAGTTTTTATAACTTTACAGAACACCTCAGGATATGGCTAAAGTTTATTAAAATAACTTTTTGTTATCAATAAAAACAGTACAAAGGCCATTTTAGCCTACTTTGTAAAGCTTTTTATCATACTGTACAGTTAGTGGGGCACGACAATTATGAGTATAACTTTCTTGAAACTAAACCAGTAAGGCTTAAATTTTTTGTAATTTTACAATATTCTTTTTGACAACAAATTTGCAAAAAAAAATTTTTTCCTTTTTGATTTAAAAAAGTTACAGTAATCCTACAGTACCGGATTACCGAAGTATGTACATGTTTTCTAAAAAATCAAAGAAGTTCGTTTTATAGAGCATAAAAAGTTGTACGACTTCTGAAAGTTTCATCTTTCAATTGTATTTTGTTCATGAGTTATGGTCATTTAAAAATGTTCAAAAACCAAAAAGGATCGATTCTGCTTGAAAAATATTTAAAAATCGGTAACTCTTTTACCATAGGAGATACACTATTAAAACTTTCAGAAGTTGTACAACTTTTTATTTCAGGGTACTGTAGAATTACTGTAACTTTTTTAAACAAAAAAAAAAATTTTTTTTTGCAAATTTGTTGCCAAAAAGAATATTGTAAAATCACAAAATATTTAAGCCTTACTGGTTTAGTTTCAAGAAAGTTATACTCATAATTGTCGTGTCCACTTGGAGAGTAAAACCATTTGAAGCGCAAGAACCTCTAGTTTCATTATCTAGTGCCAGAAGTCGGTCACACAACGACTTTTTTTGAAAAAATTTCGATTTTTTAAAATTTTTATCAAAATTTTGCAAATATTTAAATTTTTCGATGCCTTCCGGGCATAAACGGAAAAACTTGTCGACAGCCATATTACATAGTTTGACGTGTTCTATCATTAAAAAAAAAGTCCGGTGAAATTCTGTCAATTAGTTAAAAAGTTGCATAAAATTTCTAAAAACTACAGTACACCTACAGTAACCCAAAATCAAAAATTTTTTTTGCATTTTTGAATTAGTAGTTCTTAGAGCTACCTGTGGTCGCAAAATAAAATTATTAAAAAAATATTTTTTTTCATGGTCCGCCCATGTTTGATTCTCTCGCGGACCCTGTTTTAAAAGTAATAAAGAAATAAATATGACTAAAACAATATGATTGTCCAAATGTAATTTTTTCAAATCTAAGTAACAACTTTTTAAAAACCATAAACTTATTCACACAAAAAGAGTAATTCCAAACAGTAATCCCTAAACAGAAACTAAAAGTTATACAATCGCCCTCGGTCTTCTGATTTCGACGATTCGAAGGACTAAAGACATCAATATTCAATCGATCTTCCACATTCAATATGTCGCCACAACTTATAGATAGTCTTACTGTATTTTAAGTCCTTAATCCTACTTTCTGTATTGTGATATCTAACAATCTACTATACCTTCACCATAATCTACTACTGTAATTTTGATCTCAGCCACTCTTTCTTTTTGAACAAGAAACGGTAAAAGCTTATGGTCTCACTGTATTTCACAGGCTTCCTCCTTACCGCTACTTTTTAGTAAATCGTACCTTACTCTACCCTATTTTACCCACTATACACAAAAAATTAAGAAGTCTATCATACTGTAATGCATACAATAAACTGTCTTCCTCCAAAAACGTACAGTATAGTAAAAAAGCTTTTGGTTACTATTAAAATAAACAATCAGAAATAAAACTCCGAAATAACAGCTGAATCTCATAACGCACATCCACATAAAATAAAGTTTATTCCGCCATAAAAACTCAATAATTTTTTTTTTCGATTTTTCGCGTACAGGTACCTTACCTGTAGAATTTTTTTTTCGAATCGGCTCTGGGGGGGTGGATCCACCCCCCCCCCTAGCGACGCCCCTGGACGCAGGATCTTTGTTTTTTCAAAGCCACAAACAAACCTACCACGTTCATCTTGTTTAGACTGAAAATGCTACATTAAACCTACAGTACATCCAAAATTAGAAACGTAAAAACAACCATTTTTGTGCCATAGTACCTCACACTAGTCCCATATCCAACTCAACATAAAAAAATTAAAAAAGTTCTAAATTAAAAATAAGAAACCGTTTATACTAACTTCTATATAACCAAATTAGATCATACCCATAATATCTTTTAAAAGCTAATTTTACGATAAACCTCTACAAAAGTTAGCCATCTGCCACAAAAAAAACCGCTTATAATAACATACTTACCAATTTTTTGTAAGCTATATAAAACTGGTCCTGAAGGTAGCCCAACCCTCCAGATGGTCTTTGCAAAACACTTTCCGCATCAACAATGTTAAGTCGTCCTTTAAAATCCTCCAACACTTCCCTCAGGACGTCAAGCAATTCCACCATATAAACTGCAGCTGACTGGTTCCATCGGAGTTTGGCCGAGTCAACTTGATTTCAAGTTCGTTCAGTTCTGTCTAAATGAAATGATTAATAAATTTATAGTATATATTCTTTACAAATAGACTTTAAAGAAGCCTTAGAATTGACTTCAATTGGTTTTACACTACTTTAAAATTGCCAAGATAAATAAAAAAAAGAAAAAATCATAATGCGGTCAAAAACTGTATACATAGAATCAGTGTTTATTTGTAAAAATTTTTAAACCTTAAAATTATAATTTAAAATTGTAAATTGTAGTTTACAAACTGCTTAAAAAAGTAGTTACCTACGGTAATAACCTTATTTTTGACCTACAATCACATTCAAATATATCCAACGCCATTACATCACATTACCTTTACCATAAAACACTACAAAAAAAATCGCTCGCACTAATAAAGCTGGCCTCTTTCTTAAGCTACATTTTTGCTTAACTTAGAATACGACCATATGAACGCTCCTACCATCACGTAGTTGATTTTGTTGATCTATACATTCAGTATGTTGTCTTTCAAGGGAGGATATTGGTCGTTTTAATGGGATTCTAATAACTTTTTCAACATATATTTTATAAAATAAATGAGATTTTGAAGATATATTAAATTTTTATTTTTCGTTTTTAAATATTTAACATTTACACTGTGTTATAATTGCTTTTTCGTTACAGTCAGGCTTAAACGGGTAGGGAATTTAACACACCCAATTTTCAGTTTTGGGGTATTTTAAAGGGGTAAAGGACTTAATTGTAATGTTTGCGGTATTTCGGAAGGGTAGAGGATTTAATTGTAATTTTTGGAGTATTGTTGTGGAATTATATATTACGGCCGTTTTAATGGGATCTAATAGGTTTTTTCAACATATATAATTTTTTTAAATATAAGGTTGTTCCAAAAAGAATGACCGATTTTGACTGACAAATCAACGTTAAAATCGGCCATTTTTTTGGGAACACTTACCTCGTTTACAGAGTGTCCCAAGTTTTTTGTAAAAAGTAAAAAATTGTTCTCAAATCGTTAAATTTTACAATTTGTTAACCTATTTTCTATCAAGATATTTTATTCGTTGGCCCTGATGCCGATTCTCATCTGAGTTTGTCATACTCGTGTGTATCTTGTTTCTGTCATTTTTTTCTATCGTCTTGCTGACATAACCCACTATTATACGCTCCATTTTCCTTACTGCCCTGACTTCCACCTAGCTTTAACAGTTAGACTTCAAAATTCAGCCTTATATGTTAACTTATGAAGCAGGACCATAGTGTAGAATCTGCTCTTAAGCCTCAACCTTGTCCTTGAATCGCTTAGCGCTTCTCTTCATTCTTAAAGGGTTGATCGTGATATTGATGCACGACGTCCAATTTCGGCCTCGGGGTATTTGGGAAATATAATAACTGATTTTTGGTTCACTTGAAACTACGGGCGGATTTGATATTATTACTTCGTTTTTGGATACACGGCAGAGAACAGCAGAGGCTATTTTTTTTTGCTTTAACCCAACACCTTGAATTTCTGCCCTTGTGAATCGTACTAAAATAAAGGCAGAATCAAAATGAATTTTTCCATGTAAGCAAAGAAAAACAGCGGAGTTTATTACTCCACTCGTACCCAATATTTTTTATCGCGCAAAGATTGAGAATATTCTTCTGAGCTTTTCAACCATTTAATCAAATTTTTGATTAAAAAATTTAGATCCGCTAAAAATCGGAGAAGAACACATCTCGGTCAGTTCATTATATATGTTTCTCGGGACAATAACTCAAGATGTTCCTCAAGGTTTTTAATTATCTTAATCAAGTATTAAATAAAAAAAAACATTTTATCGGCGGACGACCTGCGGAAGAACTCTGCAAAGGCCGTAACTCGGCCAATTCCTAAAACTATCGCTCCAGAAAAAAGTTATCCTAAAGTTCCTCTCTACCTAGCTATTGAAAATTTACATGTAGTTGAAGTTTTAATGGCACATGTGCTCAATTTCATGTGTACCAAAAAAAATTCAAAAACTAAGCTTTTTGCAAAAATCATGGAACACCCTGTAGAGGACATTTTGGAAATACATATTACAAAAATAATTCTTTAAGTATTTTACAGTTGCAATGTGGTATACCTTTTAGTTGCATCTAGGTTTATACGCATAACATCTCTTTCGTGTCATGTATTTATATATTTCATTTTAATGGAATTTTTAACGCTTGGTTGCAGTTATACCGTAATTAAAAGTAATAAATTTTTTATTTTATCGTGATTTTGTCGTGATTTTTGCAAATACGTTATTTTCAAATTTTTTCAGAAAAAATGCAATATGAGTACCGTAAAACTGGTTGGGAAGACTCAGACGACGAAAGTCTAACCCTAATGCCAGTTTTCCACACATATGGAACTCATGGAGCAAAGGAGTTCGTACCAAACTACGAAATTAAGTTTGAGTACGATCCCAAAATGGAGTTGCCACCCCCTGTGGATGAAGATGAGAGCAGCGATGAATCAGAGCTCAGCGAAGACGAACACTCCATCGACGAAGATGCGATGGCACAGGAAATGGCAGACATGGAGCAGGAAAGAAGAAGAAATAATTATGAATTTGATTATTGGTAAGTAACAGTTGCATCTTCTACTGATTGTTTTTAAATTTGTCTCAATTTTGTAATACTTATTTCTTCAATTTCAGGGCGTCTAGAAACTGCGTCTCGACTTCAAAAATTTCAGCGTACTACTGTTACGTTAAAGCTTTTAAAGCCGACGTGCCGCACTACGAAAACGTCCGGTCGATTGGAGAAGACTGGACGCTCCACAAAACCGCCGTGCTTTGGCCGTCAAAATGCGGTATCAAAAAGGCTGGTCAGCAGATTCAACGGCTGACAAAAAAACACAATGATGTATTCGGAACAATAAATAAGAAAATGGTCGACTTTTGTAAAAAGTAAGTGTCTTATTACCTATTTTATTATTTTTTAACAATATCGTTTAACTATTCGTTAATTAAACACAATTTGTTAATTATATAACCGTAAACTTGACTAAAAACAATTTTTTAGAAAACTACTGACCGAAGACAGGAAACAAACGAAAAGCTGCTGAAAGTGCTGCAAAACCAGCTATACAGCCAGTATCCAGGATGGAAGTTGACCCCGTACGGGGGGTCGCACAATGGGTTTGGTGGGCAGTGTTCAGATATGGACCTGACACTCCATACTAAGAAAAAGTAAGTTACACATAAGCTTTAAAAGTATATCACGAATTAATAAAAAATGATTAAAAACAGCATTTCCTTAATAATTTTGAATTTCAGTGTCACAACAAAACCAACTGTGACCGACATTGCCAGTGTTTTAGACACGGAGGAGTTCAAAACAGTGTCAAACATGGAAGAATTGAAAGCCATTCCCAACACTGCTGTAAGTATTACAACTTGTAATGGTTTTTTTTGTTTTAATCAAGACATACAATAAGTTTTATTTTTTTTCAGTATCCATTAGTAAAAATGGCTTTCAACCGAAACAGCGTCACGATGGAAGTGGATCTGACGGTCAACAATAAGTTGGGTGTAGAAAACACTAAATTATTAAAGTTCTACTCATTGTAAGTTTAAAAACGTAATTAATTAATCAAGTATATAAACTTTTTTAACAATTTAAAATGTCAATGAACTTCAATGTTCTATATTTTCTGCTTTAAGATTTGATACCCGGGTTGCACAGTTGCACACTGTGATCAAGAACTGGGCCAAGCACCACAACATGCACGGCGGTATACACTACCGCTTCAACACCTACACCTTGGTCATACTGACCATCAACTTCTTACAAAAAGGTGTCAGCCCGGCAATTCTGCCCCACGTGGACCATTTAACCCTCGAGTTAAGAAATAAGAATGAAAACGACATGAAAGAAATGGTTAAAGAATATAAATTAGGTAAGTTTTTAACAAAATCAAAAAAAAATTGAAAATCTTTATCCTTTTTAGTATAAAAACAAAACTGATCTTTCTGACTTTTAGGAACCAACAGCTTAACATTGCCAGAACTTGTCATTGGATTCATGACGTTCTACGCAATGTACGACTTCAACGAGTGGCACGTCGACATAACCAAGCCGTACCTGTGGAACCTGTATGACATCCAGGAGAGATACTTTAGCCCTCCATTCGATAAGCTGAGCATGATATGCCCAGTCGGAGGTGAAAGTCCAACCAGAAAGGTATCGGACTTCTGCTACAACGACTTCCGGAAGCAGATCAACGCCTTCAACAGCCTGATTTGGGAAAAATTAGCAGAAGAGAAGAATGAAACCAACTTCATGGAGAAGTTCTTAGGTCGTTTAGGAATTTAATAGTTAAGATTTTTTTATTATAGTTACTTTTTTTATTTGTATTGTCTCCCTCAAATTCACAAATTATATTGTGCATTTTCACCGGTTCAAATTATTAACTCAGGTTCAATTATTATTGTTGTCTGTACATATTTAGTATAACAATGTCTTTCAAATTTTTATAACAAAAGTTTATATTTTTACATATTTTTATCACTAATTTTAAGAATTCCAAAATAAAAACTATTATCTATATACAAAAGAATTAAAACCCGTTAATGCAACATAAAAGCCCCCCTGAAGATACTCAGCAAAGTCCTTCATACCAATAATATCTTTAAAGTATCCAACCAAATCTCCGTATCCATCGAAAAGAGAAGGCGCAGCCGTGTAAAGTCTGTCCAGTAAGTCGGTAGCATAAAAGTCGGCAAAGGTTGGAGATGTTCCAACCAGGAAACTTGAATTTTCTCGAAGGACAGCAGTGGAATACACAGAAAATTAGCGCTTAACAAGAGAAATCCCCATTTCTTCGATGAACTGTTTCTGAAAACAAATATAACATTACTTATTGTGGTAAAGGCCAATCATAATCATTGCTTTAACCCTAGAAAACAAAGAAGCTTTACGTTTTTTATCACAAAGCCTAGAAAAAAAGCATTTTGAATTAGAATACCAAAACGTAAAGAAACATTTACCTTGTCATGTTCGTCTTTTTCCAAGAGTACCTTCAAGAATGACTGTAAATCATTCATTTCTTCAAGGTGAATCTCCATAAACTCGTCAATCACAGCGTTCTCTTTCCTGTATTTACCCACAAGACCTGAAAAGAATAAGGTAACCAAAAAACATTATAAAGACGTTTGAATTTTGACAAAATCTATACTTCTTGCAAAATAAAATGAACCAAATTTACTACATAACACATACCAGAGATGTCAGCCACATATTTAGCGATAGTAAGAGCTTTGTGAAGCACAAATCCATTGTGATCCAACATTGGCGATGACTTGAGTTCGGATTCTGAAAATATAGACATAATAAGTTACAAAACTTGCGAACAAATTCGTTGACATAGTGCAACATCATTCGAATCGGCTCCCCAACATCTCGAACGTCAAAGAAGTAGAATTTAAAGAAACCGTACTGAAAGAAAAGTAACATAATCTCACATTTAGACCAATATTTAAAAAAATTTTAAGTTCTTTTCCAAAATGATAGCATTAGAATCTTAAAAATTCAGTGTTATAAAAAATAACATTAAAAACAATATCCGAAGAACCTTTAAAAATGTTAAATAACTTAAATACTATATCAACCCATGATCCGAACAATATAATAGCTTGACCGCACTAAACACACCTCCGATAATATATAAAACCTTACCTTAGCAACCCTGGGAATTCCAACAACTTGAGTTAGCTAATCAGCAAACAATTCTTCTAATTCATCTTGATACTTGTGGACTGCTGTAGGAGAACATGGTCACTGAGGACTCCAGGCTTGAGACAAAACGATGCTGTTATTGGCTGTCGGTCTGGGCACGGTCTCTCTTCTCTGATAACTTTCTATTCGCTTCAGAAATACATCAAAGGTATAAGAGTGTACCTATGGCTTCCGACTCTTGTTATCTCGGCTTCTGAATTTTGATGCTGAAAAAACGAATACATTGCAAACTAAGTCACTAGAGTTTGGCAAAATATTACCTAAAACAGCATGTGCAACCGAAAACACGTTCAAAAAAAGCAAATTATTCAATTTTAGGTAACATTTTTTTGAAAACCGTAACATTAGATATAAAACAATTAAATAATCTAAAACAGTATATTATCAACGCAAACTTAACTAAAAATCTTACCATCGCTCTCCTTCTTCTGATTTCGACGGTTCGATGAACCAAAGACATCAATATTGAAACAATCTTCCACATTCAACATCTCGCCACAAATTATAAATACAAAATGACCCAAAACCAAACACGATATTGATAAGTTGAGTTGGTAGTTTCATTTTGACTTTTCTAATTTGAATATTCTCCGAGGAAAAAACAAAAATTCTGATTCCCTGAAAAGCAGAAATACTTGAGAGCTGCGCCCGGGACTTAAGAATGTGGCGCAGGTCGCAAAATACTATTTTTTAATTTACCGGTCAAAAAGTTGGTAGAATCTTCTTATGTCTTATATTAGTCTTTTGTATGTACGTTTCTATTAGTTTTTTGACTTAATATTGTTTAAAAATTGCTTTTTGACTTTTAATCAGTCTGTTTTGCCATAAACATAATGTTATCTATGTTTACTTCACAAACAGTTAAAATTAATCAGATATTGCAATAAAACGTTGATAACAATGTTGTTTACTTTATTTACTGCTTTCTCTTACCCAAATTATTCATTCTTGTCGCTAGTTCAATATAATTTGTTGTCTATTCCAATTTGTTAGTCTAAACTGAAACCATGGGTAAGATAATGATTATAACTGGTGCCACAAGTGGGATTGGCAAAGGAGCGGCTTTGGAAATGGCCAAAAGGAAGTGGAGTCTGGTTTTGACTGGTCGAAACGCTGAAGCAATGAAAGAAATTGCTGAAGAATGCAAAAAGTTGGGAGCTGAAAAGGTATGGATAATATAATATTCTTATCTTTTAATACCTGATTTAGTTTGCATATTTACTCTTTATCTACTGAAGCATGCTGAATATTTTTTATATAATTATAATTAAAACTTATAAAGTCAATTTATTGGTTGGAATCTAAATTTTGTTGTAAAGGAATGTCATTTTAGGTAACATATTTGTAAATAATGTACTTTAGGTAACATACACTCTCGGAGACCTGACTGATCCATCTGTGGCTAAGAAGATAGTAGATCATGCTTTGAAAGAGTTTGGAAAGATAGATTGTCTGGTGAACAATGCTGGTATGTTAGTTACAGGTAATCTTGAGGAAGCCAAAGATGATTTGACTGACTTCGATGCTCAAATGGAAGGAAACGTCAAAACGTAAGTTGAGGGTTGTTAAAATAAATTTAATATATGAATATGTATACGGTTGAAGGATTGCTTCGACAGTGAATTAAATAGAACAGAGTTATCTCTGTCTATAGAGGACTGGGGACAGTCTATTGTGTTATAAGATAACATTTACAGAGTAGTCCGACTGACCAAAGTAGCTCTGCCACATATTATTAAGTCAAAAGGTACCATTGTAAACGTGAGCAGTGTTTGTGGTACTAATTCAACACCAGCTGCTTTCTACTACTGTATGTCAAAGAGTGCTCTGGATCAATTTACAAAATGTTTGGCTATGGAATTGGCAGGGAAAGGTGTGAGAGTCAATTCTGTTAAGTAAGTTGATAAGTTTATACAGATTTTATTTTAAGAATTTAAACATATTTTATTTTTAAAATGAGGTGCGTTACTATTCCTTCATGTTTTCAGTCCCGGCGTGATTTACAGTGAAATTCAGCGACGTTCTGGGCAATCTGAAGACACATATCAAAAGGTAACTTTATTTTTGTGCATTGGGTGGGCATGTTATCCCTGGTTGGAAAATATATACAAAATCTTTATCGCAAAGCTAAATGTGATTTTTTCAAAAAAAAATTATTTTAACTGTAGTTGTTTTACCTTACAGTACCTCGAGCGCAGTAAATTAACTCATCCAATGGGCCGCGTTGGATATCCTGAAGAGACGGCAAAGGCCATAGCTTTCCTGGCTTCAGATGACTCTTCTTTTACTACTGGCGAGCTTCTGAAAGTTGATGGTGGAAGAGCCATCTACACTTTTGACTAATTTTAAATGTGAAATTTTTACGTTAATTAAAATTTTAACATTTTTAAACGTACCACATTAAAAAGTGTCATATAATGTCTTAAGAGTGTTTTACACTTTACATTATGTTAATGTACATTAAATGATTTTTTACTGTGTAGTAGTATTATCGTAAATTGAAGTTTTTAAACACAGTTTTGCCTTAAAATCGACATTTTACGTCTTTTAATTTTTAAAATTTAAAAATGTTGACTTTCACGTAAAACCTGGTTTAAAATTCATAGCCTTAACTTGGTGTTGATGTTGATTGACAACCGAAACAAGTTTGTGAATGGCTTTGCAACAAACATAATCTTGTACATGACGAAAGTTTTGTCGTTAATTATATGTCTTTACACGTCAAAAAACGACAAAACTTTTTTAATGCGTTATTATAATATAATATTAACTTGTTCAAATAATTCTGTGCCTCTTTCAAAGCAATTTTGGGGGGGGTTTGAGGCACAGAATTATTTGAACGACTTTTTTAAAAAATGAGTAAATAGCTAATTTATGAATAATAAAAAGAGTCTGTAGGCATTACCTACAGTACACATAACGTCAGTTTATACGTGCATAGTACTCCACCCGCACAGCATGACGTCCTGTTTAGGTTGTCACTGCCATGTCGTATAATTGTAGTCAAATTGAGCGGAAATCTATTGATGGATATGGTAATTTGTTTGTTTTGCTACAATTTGGATTACTAATATTATATTCTGGAAACGTTATTTTAGGAGTAGCTCACGTAGTTCATGTTGTACAATGTTATTGTTGTACTGTAACGCTAAATTTGTCGGTTTTAAAGCGAGGTTGTGAATTACTTTTATAACTCTTTCTTAGAATTATCGTTTTTTTACGGTAACTTTAAACACTAAATTGACGTAATAAGCATATCATTATAGTACTGTAAGTTCTGTATAACACTAAAAATAGCATAAACATGTTGATAATAAAACTTATTTAAAAATTAAAATAAATGACTTTGAGACAGGATATTTATAGCGTACGAAGTTCAGAATCCACGAATAAAATATGAATATTATTATGAATAATATTAATCGCGAACGAAAAGTGTTGTCCATAAAGAGTGTTATTGTTTTCGAATAAATCCTTCAAGTTGTTATAAAAAGACGTTTGTTTTTATGATTTAATCATTACTTTTTTCAGTTTTTACAACTTTTTTGTTTTTTTTGTGTATGACGGCTAGCGGCGGGTGAAAAATAAGAATGGGGGGGGATTTAATTTTTTTTGTATGTCGACGGGGTTGACCTGGTTTAATTTTTTAAAATTTTCTTATGAACAATGTCGCCAACTCTTTATTTCGACTAATTTTAAGACTATTACATTTCTGCTTAATATCTCGGTATTTTTAAATACACAATTACAAAATCGATTCTAATATAGTAACCGAACGTAATTGTCTTCTGTTACCGTACCAAAACATTTGCAATTATGCGGAAATGATGACATTTGTCTGTCATCGATTAAGTCTTAAAGGCAATGTCAAAGAAAAGGAAAAGGCGGGGACAGTCGAGACATGACGTTCTTGACATAAAGTTGGTGGGTAAAGGCATACTTTGATTGTCTATTATCGAATACTGTTGGGTTTTGGCTTACTGGTCGGTTAGTTTTTGTCATTTTACCGTATTTTTGAAAGATAGTAAGGAGCATAGTAATTTTTTTAAATGGAGTTATGAATTTTTTTAATTTTTGGTTTAAACTGGGTAAATTTAAGGATTACAAAACAAATACGACATTTATATCCTGTTACGTTCTTCTTTTTAATAAATGTTTGTATGTAACGGAAACGGATGTAAATTTGAATAACTGCGTAGGTTAAGGTGTGAAAACGGAAAAACTTTCATAACAAATTCAAAAGGTTTATATATAAGATAGTTTTGGCATGAAGTGTTATGTTACAGTGGAACCTTTGTATAATGAACTTCTATATAACGAAAGCTCTACTGACGAACAACTTTTTAATCTTCGTCTAGCACTACACAAAGTCGCTAGTAGAAAGCTGATTGACATTATTTGCGGACCCTTTAGTAAAATGTTTCTTACATTTATGTTAGTTTAATACTATTCGAGACTATAATAACATAATTTTGGTATTAGTTTAGTTTAATCTCTTGTAGGTGGATGGATTTACGTATACGTGAGGGTTTATATTATGTTATGTATTACGTAATATGCGAGTGTTACTGGTTAATTTTTTAAAGTTGTAACTAGTATTATATATGTGCCATTTATACCAATCATTGGGTTAAGTAAGGATGTTTTTTAGACATACTACTATAGAAAGGAACATACTATGTATAGATATTATATAATCTATTGTAAGCAAAGTATTCTTATGGTATTTAAACAATTGGGGTTTAAAGGATTGAGGGTATTTTTCTATATATTGATATTCATACTATATTGTACTCGTACTTTCTCACAATGTTTTGTTATATTCGTTTACTTTTAGGTACCAAACACTTTGGGCGACATCTTCCTTCTCACTCTTACTTCAAATACCAAATCCTCACTATGCACAGTATGTTGTGTATGTTGTTGTTGCTGACAACGCTTCTTTCCTCAGTTATTTGCAAAGATGAGAACATACGAACATCGTCGATCAATGGATTTAACCGACCAAACAGAGCCATCATCACATTGTCCGAACTGTTGGAACGCACGATGTGGCCGGAGGAAATGTGAGTTTATTGTACTGTAAATTTAGTTTTTATGGTTGATTTTTTAATGAAAATGGTAAGAACTTTCTTTACGTGACTTAAAATGGCAATTATTTTTGTTACAAACAAAAATGGCAAGAACTTTCTTTACAAAACTTAAACTTGTAGAAACTTTCCTGACATGGCTAAAAACGGCAAAAACTTTGTTTACAGCTAAAAATATTTTTTTAAAATTATTAAAATTTAGTTTTTATCGCTAAAATGACCTTTTTACCCGAATCTTTTGACTTTATGACCGGAAGACGACAAAGTTTTAAAAGTTTCTCCGGAAACCTTTCTTTTTCGTAATTGCATCGTCGATAAACTTTTACAATCGACCATGATTTATGAACTTTATTGGCAAGCGAACCGTGCCGCACGTTCAAAACAAACGTGCTGTGATGTGATTAAACAACGATGGGGTTAATCGAGGGTAAAAATATTAATAAATTCGCTTGGGAACACGTAGTATATTTATGGTATGTTATGCGGTATGTATGAAGGTAAAAATAAATAACAAAAGAGTTAGCTGAATTACATGTTATAGTACATTAAACAGGATAGTAAAAGTAACTATAGGGTAGAGCAAGCTTTGTAAGGGTAGGGTAGGGTAGAGTAGGGTAGGATAAGATTAAACCTTTTTAAAATTTAGTTCTTAATTTTTCGTTACATACTGCTTTTAGTAACTTACCATTGATTTCAGAAGAACAGTAAAAACGCGAAGAGCACCATCCTTGGACAACAACTACCAGTGGGAGAGTATGATGCAGTCGTTGGACAATCTTCGAAAACCTCGATTCGGTCGCTGAAAACACACCGTGAACCGCCCCTGACACTTAACCAGAGCCCTTATATTGTTGTATACAATACGATTTATCACTTAGACACTTTAATAAACCGTTTACTATAGTTACTCTTGTATATAGGTGCATATACATATACACCTTTGCCTATATACTTTTACTTACATATAAGTAAAGATATTCATGTTGATATGTTCATACATATATTATACATACAATTGCTTCGAAGTTAAAAAATAAACAAAAAGCGAAGGTATCAGCGGCAGTGATAACTGATAATCGCTGTTATAAAAAGTTTATTCCTCGAATTCGTTTGTCGCTGCTATTTTTCCGGTTTTTAAATCCGCAAACTTTTCAAAGTTTCAAATTATTTTATGTGTGACATAGCTATTTGATTGCTTATATGGTTTTAAATTGGTTGCTTATTTTTTCACATATTATATGACATTAAATACGTTTTAATCAAATAAAAACTGCCATTTCTCAAAGCGCAACGAGTTGCTTTACAAAAAAAGTCGCGTGTGCGGTAAATTGATTTTGCGATAAATTTATTGACATCAAAGCACGGTATGACATGAAAGCAAGGTTGGGGATATTATGGTAACTAGTAGTAGCTAACATATTATATTTTAGGTTTTTCAATTAAATCTGTGCTCTTTTTCAAAGCAAGTTGTTGGGTTACATGTAGTATATTTTTTTACTTGCTTAATATTTTAAGAATTTTGTTGTTTTATTTTGATGTTTTGCTTGGTATGTTAGACACGCTTTCAGCTTATAAATATTAATTTCGTGATTGAATGTAAAATGTAAAGATTGAATTTTTAGGCAAGGAGCAAAATCCAAAAAGCGACAAGGTTATAAGCTTGAAACACAATGCCAATTTGGCAGAAAATTCGAAACTTAATTTTTTTTGATCGCGATTTACTCGAGATTTCCTGGAAAGCGCAATTTAGGACTTTGCTGAAGATGTTATATTCACTGAGCTTTCTATAGAAAAAGTTTGAATTTAAACTGAGCGAGGCAGGTTGTTACTTTGCTTGTTAGTAGGAACAAAAATTGTTAAAAGTTGTTGCAAAAATATTTTTAGTATTTAAAATTAAATGACAACAATGTTCCTTTAAAAACTAAAAGTTTTTAAATTAAGGTACTTAGAGGCAAGTTCGTATCTTGGGTCGAGGTCATTTTTTTTCATTTCGATTTAACGGAAATTACTTCAATTAATGTGACGCTGTTACTCAATTTAAATTTTAAAGTTGTTTTCGTTCATTTTAACTTAAAATACGATTGGATTTTATAATCTTGGGTAAAATACGGTCGTCGTAATTGATTTTTTATAAGCTTTTGAAGCTCGAAAATTATGAAAAAATTAGGATTTTTTAAAATAAAACAGCATTATTTATACCTACTTATCACATAGTACCCAGTAGAGACACATAGTACATAGTAGAGACTTACCACAATAAATATTTTATATAAAAACGCAATAAAATTGAAAAATTTGAAGTAGCATAACTCTTCAAACTTTTTTCATCAATTTCTCGTTTCGCCACACTTGAGTGATAGATATATCCAGGGTTTGTCTCTCATTTCTTGTTTACCTTGATTCATCCCTTCGAAGAGTTACTTAAACCAATACTTCTACTCTACGCTTTTGTTTTCATATTGGGTTACTATTCCGTGATCTTTGAGGAGGCAAGTGAGTGTTGGTTAGGACGACGTTTGGTGTGAGGTAAAATTTTTACAAATCTTTAAAAATTACGTTTTTTGGTTTAGAATTGTCAGTGTTTTTTAGTTTTGAAATTTCTAAAATAAGTGTTTTTCAATTTTAAATATGTTTAAAAATGTTACAGGCTGATCTGGCTCAAATGCTGCCTATTCACGACAAATGAATTGGGTTAGCGATAATGAGTAACAAATTTGGCGCAATTCATTGAATATTCAAATGTTTTTTGTAAAGGTTCGATCCGAAACGTTCCTAGTAGCAATTGTGTTCTTTTTAAACATTCATATTGACCTACACACGTATTTTTGAAGAAAAAGGATTTTTATTGAACGTTTTTGATTTTCAAAGTTTTTTACGACAGAATGCCAACGTTTTGCAAAGACGTTTTGGGGTTGCTTTAAATATTAGGTTGTTCAAATAATTTTGAGCCTTCTAACTCCAAAACTTTGCTTTAAGATGGGGTGCAGAACTATATAAACGGCCTAATATTTCTTAAATTTTTTTAAAATTAACCTAGAGGTTATAATAAATAACATTCTTCTGAATTTAAGCTTCAAACCCAGCAGAACCCTTGTATTATACAGGAGTTATACAAGGGTTTAAATGCACTGTGTAAAGTACAAGAATAAAAATTTGTTTGTTATTCCGGATTTTGGTTATATATGAGTTGGTTATACAGGAGTTCCATCGTACTAAAACTAACCTTATTTACTAACAAAATGTTAAGTATGTAAACAAATTATCCAATAAGTACTTGTTGTTTCGAATCCACAATATTAAAGATAATTATGCGTCGCTAAAAACAGAAACGCATGTAAACTGTTCCGCTTTTTCGTATAATACTTATCCTTGCTTAAGTAAACTTTGCAGTAAAACTAACTCAGTTCCGCTCATAAAACACTGGATGTCGTTTTATTTGAATTCGGTTGGAAAGTTGATTAATTTGAAAGAGAAGAGGGGGGGGCTGGTGTCTTTTTTGGACTGGGAATTTAATTAATTCTTGGGCGGTTGTATAATACTGAAGGGTTTGCTTTGGGTTGTTTAGTATAATATTTTTCATTATAAATATATATTTTCTAAATCGCTTTACACATTACTTACTGCGGAGTGTAAGCATGCTATCAAAGACTTTTTTTTACTACCAGGACGTAGCTATACAGTCCATTTCATGACAACACTACCACAACTAGAATCTTCCTTATCGCGTGTTATTTATGACACTCCGTCTTAACACTCATCTCGATCATTTTGTAGCATCCATAACATGCATGTTGTTTTTGTTTTGACTCATTCGTATCGCCGGCTCTTCAACGCGTTTCACGCTAATTACGCGCAATCGCAGGCGTAATGGTCGCAATGTACTTGAGACTTAATTAAAGATCTCAGCAAATAGATTGTAGTAGGTTAGAGATATAGTGTAGTTGGATGAAGATAGATTGTAGTAAGTTAGAAATATGGTGTGGTAGAGAAAAGATGTAATGTAGTAGGATAGAGATATGTTGTATTAGGACAGAGATATAATGTATTAGGACATAGTGTGCAGTAGGGTAGAAAATGGTTATACTACGGAGAGATAATAAAGAAGGAGATAAGGAGTAGAAAGAAAGATAAGAATCAGTGTTGTAGGAAAGTAAAAACCAAAAGTTTTTTTAAAAAAATTCAGTTTTAGCTTTTAACTTTGGTATTGTAAGATCACCCTTATGATCAAGAAATTGGGCGCGGCACAGAGAGGAGGAGGGGTAAAAACAAAAAGGGTGTAAAATTTTTTTTGATAGTTAAACAGTTGTTTTTTGGTTGTTTTTCGCTACAAATATATTTAAAATTTACCTCTTGGCAAAAAAAAGTTGTGCACGTTTCCCTCTTCTCACTTACTCCGATAGTTATTTAGCATTACCTACTCGACCTCTTCCTGCGATAAGCTTTTACAATTAAAAGTTTTTTTTTTTATTTTTATTTTAAAAGACTTTGCTCCAGAAAACTTTTTTTTTGTAAACCCTACGTTTCTACCACGTCTTTTTACAATGCTGGTTACGAATCAGCGAGATAATCCGAGGAGTGTCCATTGTCTCGCGCGATGAAACGGCCTCCGGCTCTTTCTCTCCAAATTAATTTCGCGTCAGGTCCACGCAGTGGAGCGACAACTACTTTTCCTTTTTATAATTCCAAAATTATTTATTTTTGGCGGCGACTTGGCCTGGGAATCGAAATTCGAAAAAAGGGGCCAAAGTCGTTTTAAAATCAGATTTTGAAGCGATTTCGATCGATAAGCTGAGGGTTTTAGGCTTGTTTTGCTTATCATTTTCTGTATTTTGAAAGTTTTTCAGTTTTTGTCATTTGTATTTTATAGTAAGTAGAGTTTTAACAAAGGTAAAGTAGCAAAGTATATCTCTATTAAAATATTCATCATTCGAAACATATCTTTTCTTTCCTCAAGTACAATATAAACGTAATTTTGCTGTCTAAAACTACTTAAATCTTGCAGAAAACAATTCTAAGCCAGGCTTACAAGTTCATTTTATCTATATCTGGATTACCGATAATTATTGTCATGTAAATATTTACTTTAATCTTCGTATCTTCAGTGAAAGTGGAAGAGTTTATTGAGATACCATGGTTTAAGTACATAATTACTCCGATAAATGTTCGTATTTAAACGACTTTTGAGATGTCATTTTATGCTTTTAGTGAAAGTTTTTTAAATTTTATTTTCTTTTTCAACGCAATAGATATAATTTGAGAAGTGAGGGGGATGGTGAGGGTTTGGTGAAGACATTCAGATCAATCTATTGTAGCTGATCCCAATTGGGTTTCATCCAGGTGATCCTGTTTCTAGAGCTACCGAGTCGTAATGAGGTGCTCCCCAAGACTTCAGGCCGTAAAGGTATCTTGGTATAAAATTTTTTTTGTAAAGATAGCGGTATTACTGTTGTGAGATCTAATGGCCCACGATTAGTTTAATCTTTCTTTTTCCTCTACTTTTTTACTAAGTAAAAAGCAGAATAACGCGATTAGAATCTAAAAAACTTTAAAATATCATTTTTATAAACATATTTAAAAAAAATTGTTTTTTTAGATAATCGCATTACAAACGTTTGATGGTGTGTTCAAACTGATTTCTACTGAAAATAAGGGGTATATAGTGTGGTATTCCTTTAGTTATGTTCTTCTACTATGGCTGAAAATTGCTGTATTATTTTTACAGTAAATTTTCTTTATAAAAACAAAAGCAAAGCTATGGATTAAAGTCACGTTAACCTAGTTATTAAACTTGTAAAGAGGCTGGGCTTAGTTTTTGTAAATGGGTCAGATCTATTGGCCTTTCTTTCAATCCTAATTTACTATAGTTTCAGCCACAAATTGGCTTTATAGCATTAATGACCGATTGCTCTTTTAATATTTGCTCAGTTCAAGTCTCTCCCTATTAAAATCGAAACGCTTTTTTGCCCTTCGGCTCTTTTTGAATAAAAATGCGCACCTGTCAAGAAACCCTGAGGGCGATTGGGTCGCCAGTCCTTTATAACCTCGTTTCGATCATTTTCGCACCTCATTTTCTCATTTTATAACTATTCATAACACCGAATTCAAATTAGAAACGAGGGTATATTATAATAGTCAGGGGTTGGCCTAGAATGTTGCGGACTTTATGAGACATAAAAATTTTTTTATTGTCATCAGATTTTTCAATATTTTTCTTATAGTATTTACGAAATGGTGACATTATTTCACTATACCAGCATTTGGTAAACACAAATTGTTATTTCGCCAGTGGCTCGTTGGAAACGGTCGCAAACATAATTATACGATCAGCTTTAACGACATTACTATTATCGTAAAAGGTGTAATTATAATTCGAATTCATTGCTTTTTGCAAATAGTCATCTATTTTTAGGAACTTTTATTGTGTTATTGTTCGCATTATGTAAATGTAACTTTGCAATGCTACATTGGATTGCGTGAACAATATTTGTTCTTCTTATTGTATGTAGGTGTGTAAAAATAGTCTTGTCGTAAATTCACATAGTTTTGAAGATTTAAAAGCGACAATACTTTATTGCCAATTAATATATCAGTTCGCTATAAGATATAGCTCAATACTTTTTATACAATTTAATTTATATGTCTATAGATAAAACTTTACTGTCCTTCAATGACGGTGACTATAGAGGCTTTTAAAAAAACTCTAGTTTAAACCCTAAGTCTACTTTATTAAAGGTATAAAAAGGAACTTCTGAAACAGATTTATGGTTTTTTAGACCGAACTACTCTTGAAAAAGACTTTTTCTGTTTCCGCCGAACAACAAATCCAGATCTTCTTTTTTGTAACGGATATTACAATCTGCTCACGAGGTTTTAACGCTAATGAGAACGCTACAAATTTATTTATTTTTTAATTTAACACGATTTTAAACTTATGGCATTCAAAATCTTTCTTCTATAGCTTGACATAAAAGTTTTGTCGTGTTTTAACGTGGAAACAGTACGAATTGACGACATGACTTCTTTAATATAAGTTTTCAATTTTTTAATTATGTATACTATATAATAACCGTATTTTACTCAATAAGCTTTTGTTTGGTTGATAGTTCATGTAGTTCAAGTCAGTCCTCTCAGAACCTCCTCAAAGTCCACCTTGTTATTGATACCTACTCATTTACAACACGCCCAACCCTATAAAAGCACATTCCAGCTACTGCAACAAGATAAAAGCAGAACAGGCCGCTTTATCAGACAAAGACCAGAGTTTAGACAATTTGTCGCTAATCACGTGTGTCTTCCGCCGCTTCCCGCCAAAAGCCAGTGGTATACTAACTAAAAATGGCAGTGTTTTGTTTTCGTATCGCTTTTCTTAAATTTGTTTGTTTCTCGGCTTTAACGTCTCCATAACGACCAATTTTTTCGGGATTAATTCGAGCAAACCCATCAGATGCATCTTCTTCTCCGTTTTTTGTTGTTTTAGATCGCACTTTGTTGTTGACAGTAATGTAACTGATGTGTGTTAGTATGTTATGGGCTATTTTAGAGTAAAACTTGGCTTAAGCATGTCCATGATGGATCGTATTTTACATTTAACTAGGTTTTTAACTACTTCAGATGACGCATTTTATAAACTAGGTCATCAAGACATATTTTCCAGACAAAACCTGTCGCTTCTTCAGATTTTCTTTGAAAAGACTGATGTCGCTGGTTGATTTGACGTAACTGCTGTGGTTTAACATGTAGATCAGCTCTTTTATACGTGACCTTGATTTTTATCTTCGAATTCATTTATTTGACATCGAATTTCCTTTGAATTTCGCGATTTTGTTTGAAATTCGTCGTGTTTTTTGGTGATCTGCTGCGTTTAACGGCTAAAATACGTGATTTTTTTGTACTTCAAGGTGAGCAAAACAATCCGAGGTTTGAGTCAGTTTTAGTTTAGTCGTTTTTGAAATAGTTTTGGATTGTTTTGATATGATTCAAACCGATTTTAAGTGGTTGTGGGGGTTGAGGGAGATGAAGGTTGAAGTGTAAGGTAAGATTTAATGTTTTTGGAGAAGTTTAAATAATTTTTTGGCCAGAGTTTGTTTCCTTATTCCCAATAATGTAATACATCTTCTCTTAATTTATTTTGCCTAGCGGACCTTGAGCTTTTGATCTATGTGATATTATACTAGCCACAAGTGTTTCCAGGTTTTTGATCTGTTTGATATAATACGATGCTATTGCATTTGAGAAACGCATTTCAGTGTGATAACATGAATATTTATTAGTTCTCTATCCCCAATTTGTGGTTTTTGAATGTCTTTTCGACCCAGAACTTTACGTTGTCGTGTTGAACCTAACATAATATATAATTTGATAGTATCTATTCGATTTTAATGGAGTTTCTTTTCTTTTGCCGCTAAAATGAGTTTTGACGGCTCCTCTAACACTCCCGTGTCATGATTTATATCTTCGTTTGACAGTTTCATGTTTTATTCACTTCTTTCAGACGTTTTCCGAGAGAAAAGCCCGGAGGTCATGAAGAGAATGTTTGGACGTCGGAATCCTCGCTTCTGGTTTTTGAACTGTTGTGTGTCGCCCCAATCTGAGGTATGGCTGATTTTTTTGTATTATCTTGATTGTTTTAGTGGTGTTTGGTTTAATTTTTGTTTTACTTTATTTTGATCGTTTTAGATACCTAAAAGTTTGCTTCAAAGTGTCATATTATGCTTTAATGTTGCCTTTTGCCAAAGGATTTTTGCTTTAAAGTATTTTTCCAGATAGCACGAGTACGAATCGACCGGTCAATGATCTCAGGACCAACGGATTTCCGACATATTGTACATCTTGGTGCTGACGATTTAGGATGTGTAAGATTTTGATAATTTTTTATGTTTTGATTAAGGATTTGAACCTCAATTCTCATTGTAAAAATGCTGTTTTAGTCAGCAAATAGGACGACGACGCTATTAGCATCAAAAGGGGACGACGAGTTTCAAATGAACGTTCCAATCAATATCAGGGCAAATGATATTCCGATTCAAGGTAAATTTCTTCTAGATGTAGCTATTTTTAAATAGTTTTTACGTAATTTTTTTATAACTTGACCTAGCTTTTAAATTTTTTTAAAACCATGTTCTTTGTTATTATTGTATGTCAAATGACTTTTGTGATATCACAAGAAGACCTTTATGGATTGTAAACCCTTTTTTTGACAATTTTGATAAGAGGTATCGTCTTGTAAACTTGTCAAAAACATACTTTTTATAGTTTCACTGATAACAATGTTATAGTACAAAGATACAGTAGGAAATAGTTAGTTTATAGTACAAAAGATACAGTTGCTAGCTTTAATATTACTGTACGATACTACTGTAGAAATTATTTATATCAATTTGTTTTTACCTACTTTATCTTCCCCTACCCTGCGATAATTTGTCCTAGCATATTTATTAAAGAAACAGGAAGACAAGCTTTGAGAGTATCTTACTGTAACTTCTTGTTGTAAAACACGGTATTTTTTACTTAGAATTTTTATTTTCAGCAGCTTCCGCTTAAACCGACCGATTCGGACTTGGTGACATTCCCTTTCTCGACCAGTATGACACAAGTCTTGTGTTCCGGTAACTTAACATATAAATATATATTGTTGTAAGCACTTTTCTTTAAATCGGGTCTAATTTTGTCGCTTTTCTTGTACAGAAAACGTTCGCGATGAGCTCCTGAATCTGGAACTTTTGTTGGGGGTTACTGTAATTTAGCTACTGTATTTTAAATAGTTTTTTACACTACTGTAAGTTGCACTTACTCATTACTGTAATTTTTACTACTTGATTGCTTTATTATAATACGGTTAAAGTAATATAGGCTATCGATTACAGTAATATAGACTAATATGGTTCTTTTTACTGTAAGTTATAACCATATTGTTGAAAAGTGCTGACTTTAATGTCAATCTGACGATGCTTTTACCTTGATATCTGCCACCTTACAGTAATTTCCTTTTGTTAGGTTGTTCAAATTCTTCTGTGCTCCCTCTTAACACAAATTTTCTGGGTTAGGAGGCGCAGAATTATTTGAACAAGCTAATATGCTTTGTCACATTGTCAGAAACTCGTTGTTATATTTTGTCAGTTTTTCATTCTTTTCAGGCTTCATTTTGTCTACTTTGAGCTTTGTATGGTCAATGTGTCCAGTACCTCCTATTTTGTTTTTGTTAGTTCTTATTGTTTAATTGAATAAAACATTAATTCGATATTAATTTAGGGAAGGTTGTTTTATCAATATGTACTTTTTCATTTTTGAAATTGATTTTGGGTTAGAAATGGAGGTTCGCACTTGAAAAAGTATGAATATGAGCAAAATGGTGGGGAAAGATTTTTCAAAATTTTCGGTAAAAAAATTCATGGAATTTTATCTTTAAAGGGAAAGGTAATACGTTACAGACAATAATAGTATGTTACCTGAAATAGACTGCATTGTAGCTTTTTACGTTGTTATCGTGCAGTTCGGTAGTCAGGTTGTTTATCAATCATATGCGAAGCGATAACATCTGGTTTTACGATGTTTTCCAACGAAATATGTTTCAAAGAAATTTCAAAGGGTCTTATGGGTTAGATAACATACGAACAGAACTTAAGAACAATAAAACAGGTGCATAGAAACAAATATATACAGTAAAAACAGTTATAATTATATTATTGATAACTTATTATATAATACACAGTATAATATTAAGTATGTTAAAATAAAAATGAAAAAGTGCCAAAAAGCAAGGATAATATACTTTATTTACAAATCACTTCAATTTTTACTGTGTTTCTTATCCCTTTTCCAAATATACTCATTCTTGTTTGGATCGTACTTCTCGTGAGAACATTGTGTTCTCTTCAAGTTGCTGTACTTCAGCCTTTGTCCACCATGCAAAGTGATGTTATAGTGATCAAGACGACCCGTTTCGTCAATAAAAGTGAGTTTGTAACATCCATCCTTCTCGTTGCATTTGTATGTTCTGCAACCAATTTTTATTTTTGATTTTTTAAATTTTTCGTTTCAAAAGTTCATAATTTTTTTTTAAATGTCAAAAATGGCCCATCGCGATGCATCGCCAGAAGTATGTAGTATTGCGCTTTCAAACTTACACGGACACAATTCTGTGGGTAGCTCTGTTATCAAAACCATAGTAATCAAAACGATAGCGACCGTTGGTCAAGTTGAGGTAGTCCATTTCGACAACTTTTTCAAAATATTCTTCACAGTCAAACCAACAATCTTCTGAGGTTACCTTCTCCGACACAAAGAAGATCTGAAGTTGGTATGGATTAATATTGATAAAAAGCGTTAGACTAGTTCAACAAAAGACCAGGCCTACCCAGACTTTGGGGCCGTCCTACCCTACCCTACCCTACCCTTTTCAGAAACACCTACCAACTTTTGTTTTCCCTTCAATGACACATTATTTGGACATTTAAGGTACCCTGAAGTCGGTTTCAACGTCTTTCTTGTTTTCTTGCCATCGCTCCAATTAGCCAAAGTTGCTACAACAAAGAAAATCAACAGCCAACCTACTTCCATGTTTTTGTAGAGCAAAATACATTTTTTGACAATTAAAATGCGTAAAATTTAAAAAAAATTAAAAATTCAGAAAAAATATTTTAAAAATGTTTCAAATTGCAAAAAAATAATTTTAATTCCTTTATTTTGTATTTATTTTAATTTTTGTCTCCGCAACCTGCGAATCAATTTCAAACGTCGGGCGCAGTTTACCAGACACTTTGAAACTTTATTTTTTGGAAAATTATTTTGTTCTTTTCCTCCAGAATATTCAAATTAGAATAGTCAAAATGAATTTCACAACTCAACATTCTAATTTTGTGTTTGTTTCTGGGTTATTTTGTATTTATAAGTCGTGGCGACATGTTGAATGTAGAGGATCGTTTCAATATTGATGCCTTTGGTTCAACGAATCGTCGTAATCAGAAGAACGAGAGTGATTGTAAGAGTTTTAGTTAATTTTGTGTTGATAATATACTATTTTTAACTATTTATTTGCTTTTTTTATCTAAAGTTATGATTTTTAAATTTTCTACCTAAAATTGAATAATTTGGTTTTTTTTTCTTACTTTTGAGCTAATTACGTTGTTTTAGGTAACACTTTGACAATCCATAGTTGCTCAATTTGTAATGAATTCTGTTTTTTCAGCGTCAAAATTCAGAAGTCGAGATAACAAGAGTCGGAAGCCAGAGGCTCACTCTTATACATTTGATGTATTTCTGAAACGAATTGAAAGTGATCAGAGAAGAGAGACCGTGTCCAGACCGACAGCCAATAACAACATCGTCATGTCTCAAGCCTGGAGTCCTCAGTTACCATGTTCTCCTACAGCAGTCCACAAGTATCAAGACGAACTGGAAGAGTTGTTTGCTGATCAGCTAACTCAAGTTGTTGGAATTCCCAGGGTTGCCAAGGTAAGGTTTTATATATTTTTTGGAGGTGTTTTAGTATGGTTCCGTTGACGTATGGATCATGATTTGCTATAGTATTTATGTTATTTAACTGTTTTAAAGGTTTTCGGATATTGTTTTTAATGTTATTTTTGGTAACACTTGTTAAGATCCTAAACTAATATGAGATTATAATACTTTTCTTTCAGTACGGTATCTTTAAATTCTACTTTTTTGACGTTCGAGATGTTGGGGAGCCGATTCGAATGATGTTTCACTATGTCAACGAGCCCTTTGAAGACATTCGGGTCAAAGATTCTGATTGGCTGGCGAAGTACAGTAAGTTTATACTTTTATACCTATTTTTCGTTTTTTAGACTTATTGTTTTGCAAGTTTTGTTACTTATTATGTCTATATTTTCAGAATCCGAACTCAAGTCATTGCCAATGTTGGATCACAATGGATTTGTGCTTCACAAAGCTCTTCCTATCGCTAAGTACGTAGCTGACATCTTTGGTATGTGTTATGTAGTAAATTTAGCTTATTTTGGGTTGTGAAAAGTATAGATTTTATCAGAATTCAAATATTTTTATAATGTTTTATCGTTAGATTATTCATTTCAGGTCTTGTGGGTAAAGACAGGAAGGAGAACGCTGTGATCGACGAGTTTATGGAGATTCATTTTGAAGCCATGAATGATTTCCAGTCCTTTTTGAAGGTACTCTCGGAAAAAGACGAACATGACAAGGTAAATGTTCTTTTACGTTTTGTTATTTTAATTCAAAATGCTTTTTTGTCTAAGCTTTGTGATAAAAAACGTAGTTTATGTATTTTCTAGAGTTTTAATTAAAAAAACAATGATTATGATTGGCCTTTACCACAATAAGTAATGTTATATCTGTTTTCAGAAACAGTTCATCGAAGAAATGGGGATTCCTCTTGTAAAGCGCTACTTCTCTGTATATTCCACTGCTGTCCTTCGAGAAAATTCAAGTTTCCTGGTTGGAACATCTCCAACCTTTGCCGACTTTTATGCCACCGACTTACTGGACAGACTTTACACGACTGCGCCTTCTCTTTTCGATGGATACGCAGATTTGGTTGGATACTTTAAAGGTATTATTGGTATGAAAGACTTTGCTGAGTATCTTCAGCAAAGAAAAAACTTCAGTATTTAATAATTAATAAAGTAAAATACGGGTCTTTTATGTTACAGTAGAGGGTTTTAACGCTTTTTTGTGTCTTTAATGGTTTTTATTTTGAAATGTATTTTAGGTAATGATGGAAATATGTATTGATATGTCTTTGGCTTAAAAATTTGAACGACGCCGTTATACTAAATATGTACAGACAACAATAATAATTAACCGTAAGATAATATAATAACCTGAATTGACAAATTGAACCGGTAAAAATTTAAGATCACAGGATAATTTATGATTGAGAAAGACAAATTACAAACATCAATAAAATAACTATAATATACAAAATAATTCTAACTATTCAATTCCTAAAAGACCTAAGAACTTTTCCATGAAGTTTTCTTCATCCTTCTCTTCTGCTAACCTTTCCCAAACCAGGCTGTTGAAAGCGTTGATCTGCTTCCTGAAGTCGTAGTAGCAGAAGTCGGAGACTTTTCTGGTTGGGCTTTCACCTCCGACTGGGCATATCACGCTTAATTTGTCGAATGGAGGACGGAAGAACTTAGCCTGGATGTCGAATAGGTTCCATAGGTACGGCTTGGTTATGTCCACATGCCATTCATTGAAGTCGTACATTGCGTAGAACGTCATGAATCCAATGACAAGTTCTGGCAATGTTAGGCTGTTGGTTCTTAAAAGTACGGAAAGATGAGTATGTTTTATTATTAAAAAGGAAAAATATTGCATTTTCAAACGTTTTCTTGTTTTTTAGTTAAAATCTTACCTAATTTGTATCCTTGAACCATTTCTTTCATGTCTGCCTCATTCTTGTTTCTTAGTCCAAGGGCTACATGGTCCACGTGAGGCAGAATTGCTGGACTGACCCCTTTTTGCAGGTAGTTGATGGTCAGTATGACCAGGGTGTAGGTGTTGAAGCGGTAGTGTATACCGCCGTGCATTGCGTGGTGTTTGGCCCAGCTTTTGATCACAGTGTGCAACTGTGCAACCCGGCTATCAAATCTGAAAACAGAACATGTAAAGTATTGTTTTTTATTGAAACTTTTCATTGTAAGAAGATTTACAAAATTGTTAACTAATTAGGTTTTTTAAACTTACAGTGAGTAAAATTGTAGAAGTTTTGTGTTTTCCACACCCAACTTGTTGTTGATGGTCAAATCCACTTCCATCATTACGTTTCTTCTCTTGAAGGCCATTTTTACTAATGGAAACTGAAAAAAGCAAAACTTATTACTATGTCGGAAGTTTTGCAAAAAACTTTACAAATTTTAAAACTTACAGCTGTGTTTGGAATGTTTTTTAGTTCTTCCATTTTAGACACAGATCTGAACTCTTCTGTGTCCAATACCTTGGCGATTTCTGTCACAGTTGGTTTTTCCGTGACACTAAAAATAAATATTATTAAGGAAGTTCGATGTTTTTTAAATATTATTTGTAAAGTTGTGACTTATGAAGCTTTTGTGTCACTTACTTTCTCTTCGTGTGGAGGGTTAAGTCCATGTCCGAACACTGCCCACCAAATCCGTTGTGTGACCCTCCGTACGGGGTCAGTTTCCATCCTGGATACTGGTTGCATAGTTTTTTTCGCAGTACTTCCAGCAGCTCTTCGTTGGCTTTTTTGCGGTCGTCGGTCAGGAGTTTTCTAAAAAAAGTTGTCTTTATTTGAGGTTACGACTATAAAGTAATCAATAAATAGGTAACTGGTATTAGAAAAACAGTAAAATAGGTTATAAGAAACTTACACTTTACAAAAGTCGACCATTTTTTTATTTATTGATTCGAAAACACGATTGTGCTTTTTGGTCAGCTTTTGAACTTGCTGACCGGCCTTCTTGATGCAGCAGCTTGACGGCCGAAGCACGGCATGTTTGAGAAGCTCCCACTCTTCTCCAATTGGCCGGACCGTTTCGTAGTGCGGCACTTCGGCTTTAAAAGCTTTAACGTACCAGTAGTACGCTGAACTTTTTGAAGTTGTGACGCAGTTTCTAGACGCCCTGGAATAGAAGAAATAATTATTGTAAACTTAAAAATAATAAATCTCAAATTAATCGGTAGAATGAAAATATTACTTACCAATAATCAAATTCATAGTTGTTTCTTCTTCGTTCCTCTTCGAGGTCGGTCATCATCTGCAACATGGTGTCTTCGTCGATGGGCTCGTCTTCGCTGAACTCGGATTCATCGCTCCTCTTCTCGCCTTCATCCACAGGGGGCGGCAATTCCATGTCGGGGTCGTACTCAAACTTAATTTCGTAGTTTGGATCGAACTCCTTCATCCCCTGATTTCCATATGAATGGAAATCTGGCATGAGTGTCAGACTTTCGTCGTCTGAATCTTCCCATCCAGTTTTACGGTATAAGTATTTCATTTTTCTGAAATATTAGCAAATAACGTATGTGAAAAGATAACGATAAAATCAAACAGAAAAAGGTCTGATTATTTTAGTTACGGTAGAACGACTATTAAACGTTAAAAAACTCGTTAAACCGATGATATGGATTGAAATATAAGACGAAAAAAATCCCCTGTGTTGCGTCTAAAGTGGCATTATCACATCCTAGCTCGAAAATTTTCGTCATTGTAATTTTAAAAAATCTTATCTCTCCGAAACACCCCCAAAATTGTAAAACTGAGTGTGCTAAGTTTCCTGCCATACCGAAACATCCTCAAAACTTCTAAGATAGGGTGTTCTAAGTCTACTACTCGTCTAAGAATTAAAAAGCAAATATATCACAATGAGTTAAAAAATATTTTAAAAAACGTATTTTATTTTAATATTGCTTCAAAACCTAACTATTTTTAAAAAAATATGTTTAGAAAGCCTAATAGAACCCCATTAAAACGACCATAATATATAACTACATACCGAAATACCCCAAATTTTTAAAATTAGGTGTTTTACGTTCGGTACCCCTTCGAATTACCCCAAAACTTTAAAAATTGGGTGCTTTAAGTTCCCTATCCGCTTAAGCCTGACTGTAATGAAAAAGCAATTATATCACGATATAAATGTTAAATAATTAAAAAAGAAAAACGTATTCAATATATCTTTAAAATCTCCATTAAAGAAGTTATTTTAAAAAATAATATGTTAAAAAAATTGTTAGAACCGTCTTAAAACGACCATATCCTCCCTTAAAACAAAATATACTGAATACGTACAGATCAACGAGACGAACTGCAGCAGTGAAGGTAGCAGCGTTCATATGGGTGTATTCTAAGCTAAAAAAAACGTAGCTTAAGAAAGAGGCCAGCTTGATTAGTGCGAGCGATTTCTCTTTGTGGCCTATGGTAAAAGTAGTGTGATGTAATCGCGTTGGATTCAGCTGAAAGTGATTGTGGGTCAAAAATAAGATTATTACCGTAGGTAATTACTTATTTAAAAAGTTCGTAGACTACAATTTGAGTTTTAAATAGTAATTTGAAGGTTTAGAAATTTTTTCATCTAAAGCCTGGTTCGATACAGTTTTTGACCAAACTATGATTTTTTTTGACTTTCGTGACAATTTTAAAGTAGTGTAAAGCCAATTGAACTCAATTCATTGTATTTTGTCATCATTCGGTCGTGCGGTTGCCAGAACCAAATTGTTAATCGAAAAGAAATGGACAAGGTAGGGAAAGTTGATATTACTATAATATAAGTCGTAGTTTGATTTTGAGGATAGTTTAACAATCTTTAAATTCTTTGAAATTTGTAACCATATATTTTATAAATTTGTTAATGATTTCATTTTAGACTGAACTGAACGAACTTGAAGTGAAGCCGACTCTGGCCAAACTCAGATGGAACCAGCCAGCTTCAGCTTGTGTGGTGGAAGTGTTGGACGTGCTGAGGGAAGTGTTGGAGGACTTTAAAGGACGACTTGACATTGTTGACGTGGAAAGTGTCTTTGAAAGACCATCTGGAGAGTTGGGTTATCTTCAGGACCAGTTTTATACGGCTTACAAAACATTGGTAAGTATATTGTAAGTGGGTTGATTTTGGTGGATTGGTACTTTTTATATAAGGGTTTATTGTAACATGAGCTTAAAAGTTTTATGGGCATGGCATAATTTAGAGCATTATAACTTTGTTTAAATTTTTTATGTTGAGTTGGAAGTAGAACAAGTCTGAGGTACTGTGTCACAAAAATGGTTGTTTATACGCTTTAAATTTTAGATATACTGTAATAATAATTTAATAATAATTAAAATGTTATAATTATATCAACTTCAAATAAAAACATTATGTTTTGCTATTCTAGTTGATTACTGTAACTTTAGTGTATTATTTTCAGTCTAAACAAGATCAACGTGGTGGCTTCGTTTGTGGCTTCGAAAACAAGGATCCTGCATCACCAGCGACGTCTTCTGTGTCAGTAACTTCACGATCGCCTACTACAGGCAAATAACGGGATGAATCGAGTTTTTTTTGTAAAATAAACTTTATTTTATATATTGTAATCCTTATCAGTAGGAACTTGATGTATGGAACTTTTACTGTAAAATAAACTTTGTATTTTATGTGGGTATGCGTTATGATTTTCAGCTGTTATTGCGGATTTTTATTTTTGATTTCCTATTCTAATGGTAATTATAGGATTTTTACTTTACTGTCGTTTTTGAGTTAAAGTATTTTATTTTAGTCGTTACAGTATGATGGCGTTATTAATTTTTTGGGTGTAGTAGGGTAAGACAGGACAGAGTGGAGTGGTGTGAGGTATAATGTCTCTAAGTATTTATTCAAAATTGAACGATATCTCCGTATACCTTCTTCTTTACTATTATAACACCCGCATTCGCCCAGCGTAATGCTTTTCATTTAGTCTTAACGTAAGTTGAAGAGACGTTTAGCGAAAGCAAGAAAAGGTCGAGAGAGTGAAGGTCAAGCTGTCTGTCGCTTCGTCTTTCCCACTCAAAATACATGTTTGTCTCGAAAGGCAAGGCGAGTGGAAGGGAGGGAGAGCAAATCATACGACAGGGCCTTATTGAAGACCCACCGTCGAATTTTTGGGAGTTCCTCTGGAACTTATATTTATAACAACACAGGGTACTGTAACTGCGTTTGTCAGCTTACTGTAACTATTTTATAAGCGTAAAGGCTACTGTAAGTTTTTGTCATATCTTTAGCTGTTTTTCACCTAAACTAATACTATAAAGTTATACTAATCCCTGAGTATGATTTGAAGTACTATTGCGTTTACTGGTACATACAGTATCAGTAAAGCCGTTTTTTCGAAAAAAAAAATTGTTACAGTATGCCAAATATTTATATTAGTTTAAATTTATTTTAGCGTTAACTAACAATATAATTAAAAACAAACATAAAATACGAAATTAAAATATTCAAGAGAGTAATTGCACTGGGGGAGGAAGTTTAAAACATGGTCAACGGATTCAAGACACTGGTGTCGAAAGCTGTGGGCAAGACATAAATTAGTTTTGACATAAGTGAATTTAATTTACAGTCCTAGATATAATACGATAGACTAGGTATAATATACATCACAACGCTGGGTTTTGGCCACAATCAATACTTTAGTAGTTTTAATATTATACATACAGACGAAGGTGGTATCTATTAGTTTGTCCAAGTAATTCTGAGAGCGCACCAACTTCGAAAATTTGCTTTGAGACGGGGCTCAGAATTATTTGAACAACCTAATACTAACAATAAAAAGTAAGGCAAATGTACTGGTATTGTACTTGTTACAAAATAGTACGAAAAGTTTAGGCTTGTTCAGTTGAGATTGCAAAAACGTTATTTTCAGCTATTTTTCATTATATGAGCTGTAAAATGACATTTTTACTCTTATCACTATTATTCTCACCTATGATAATATAAGAAGTGATATTATAATCTAAACACATCATTTTTAAACCTTTAACTATGTAAACATGTCTAATATAACTGTGCCAACATGTCTTCTCTCCATCTTTAAACTAGTTGACTTCAAAACTCTGTGTTATCTATCTAGTAAGATCGGACATATCACTTTTACATAGGTATCAAAGGTCTTCGTGACGATTTAGTGGGTAGATAATACTCTTCTTCATCTGAACTTGTTTGGGATGGTCGATTTGGCCGTTTCATCAGTTCTGACGCCAAATGCTGGAACCTGGCACGATTTTCTTGGCGTTCCTAAAAAATATTTATGTAAAATACGACAATTCACATATATTGATATTAAATAATTTTCGTCTCTAAAAATACAAGTACGAGTCTAAAAAGAAAAAGCTTATAGCTTTCTAACTATAGAGTCCTGTTAACAATCTTCAACTTTAATTCTTACCTGGTAGGTAACCCTTCGTACAAACAATGGCTTCACTAGCCTCTCATTCAGCCTTGTGAAGAAATTCTCTGGATTCGCGTCGCTTCTGTATCCATCTGATTCGTCGCCTTCTGTCGTGAACTCGGACTGATCCATCATGGCCATCTCATTGGTCTTGGATAACACGACTTTGTTCATCTTCTTCTGTCGCTTCTCGGTCCTCTGCTTCCTCGACTTCTTCTTCAGACTCTTCTGCGCTTCTTCTGGATAAAATTTGTTCAAGAATTTTATGAATGGCAATGCACTTCCGCCCATGAATACGACTGTGAATAGGACGATGAATAATGTTGATGTCAAGATCATTCTTTTCGTTTCGGGATCATCAATTTGCATATGAAGAGCTAGGGCAAAGGCGACAGCTCCACGCATACCACTGAACCACATGATCATTTGATTCTTCATCGAGATACGGCGATTGCTACAGCGGTTGACAATATACGACAATGGAAAGATGCTAGCGGCTCGGCTGACAAACAATAGTATCTAAAATGATGAAAGTTGTCCTTTATATTATAATTTAACATATGAATTGTTACCTAAAATTTCATAAAATTGTGAAAGAACTCTACTTTGAGAAAAGAGTAGCTTTCAAAAACTGCTCCTAAAAACGATAATAAACTCACCACACTCCAAACCAGAAATATAGGCTGGAATACCAACTTTATAGTGAACAAAGCTAACCCCAAGTAGGCAAAAGTTGACGTTTCGGCAACAAATGACAACGTTCTGAAGGTCTGTTGCATTGTAAGTTGAGTGATAGGTGAGATGTTAAAGTGCGTGTACTGGGACATTGTTATTGCACAGAACAAAATGGCCATGATACCTAAAACGGTTGATTTAGTAGATAAATGTTGCCTTGGTAAATAAAGGTTGTCTTGGTAAATAAAAGTTGTTTTGGTAATATTATAATACAAAAAACTGCTTATAAGCCTAAATATTGAATCAAAATTGAGTAAAACTACATTATTACCTGATAAAGATAACGCTTCAGCCATGCCGTAGGGTAGGTAAGCAAAAACAATCAAAAGAGCCAATTCCAAAGACGGTGTTCGACGAAGATGTACGTGTTTGAAAAGCTAAAACAACATTTTATTATTGTTACAGACAATATAAGCTAATATTACGTGCAGTAACCATAAAACTGTACTCTTAATTTTTCAAAAAAAAAACCCTCCAACATACCAAAGCCGATATGAACCCAACGCCAGCGCCAAGTAGAGCCGAAACGAAAAACATGGCCATGAACCTTGTGAAAGCGAAATTGACCATATCAGCTGATGACAAATCAATAACATGAGGTGAATTCATCTCCAGAGCTGTCGATGCCAGCACGATAGCCACAGCATCGTTCAACATTGATTCTCCAAAGGCCAACATATACAGCTGGGCATCTACTTTCAGGGCTTGGAAGATGGCTAGGGTAATCACTGGATCCACGGCTGATATCATTGACCCAAAGGCAAAGCTTTCGACTGCTGTTAGCTTGTATATTATCCCTGCCTAAAATTAAAAAAATAATTTTTGTTACGTATAATTTAGGTATTAACGTCAAAAAAGGTTAACTTAAACATAAAATGACTAAACAATTAAAAAACTTAAACTTACATAACCCAAGAACCAAACTCCAAATCCCATGACAAAAGCTGACAAAGCTGTTCCAATGATAGCGAAGGTCAATATCGGTATGATATTAGAAAAGAAGTTGCCTTTGTTTAAATTGTACCCACTTTCGAAGATGATCGGAGGTAACAACACCAAGAAGAAGAAGTTCGGATTGAAAGTCTCGACTTCTCGCCAATCCCATTTACTGTACGATAACAAGAATCCAATCACTGCTCCCAATAACACAATGGCTAGACTCTCTGGCATGTAATGAAACTCTGTGACGATTATAATATGCACCAAGAGTGTTGCCAATACAATAACGAATAGGATGAAGAAGATAGCTAGACCATCCTTCTTCTCTTCGGCTTGTGTCGCTTCTTCTTCGATTATTGGCACTTTGTTGGTCTCGTTTGATGTTACACTGCAAAAAAAAGCCATTATACTTGTTGTTTACCATTTTTGATAAAAATCCAGTGTTTGACATCATTAAAGCAAAGTAAACCCCCAAAATTGAAAAAATTCAAACAGTTGTTACCTAAAAATCCAAAAATAACATCATTAAAAAAACTTACGATTCGCTTAAATTATGAAACTGCATAGCTACAGGATCCAGAATACTCAACTTCTCCTCATTTTCATGTTTCCTCTCTTCTTCAGCCTTCTGTTTAGCTACTTGATCAACAGAAGGTGTAGTCAAATCAGTGCTATTCACAACACTTGTCACGTTCATACTTGGAGTAACATTAACAACATTACTTTTCCCATCAACAAGCCCAGGTTTAACTTCTGAGGCTAGGTTTAGACCATTATACTTACGTGAATCTGGCTCAATATGAGTTTCTGGATCTGCACCGTGGTCTTTTTGAGAATCCGTATCATGATGTTTGTCTGAATCCGCATCGTAAGAATCTATTCCATTGTTTACATTGAGGCCACTCTTGTCTTCCACATTGTCATCCACCGTAGACTCCGTAACTACACGATACCCAGGTTTTTGAGTCGAATATGTAGTTACCGTAAGCCTGGCTACCGTATTCAAACCGGAATTATTCAGAATCACCAAGACAAAAGTAGAAGCTATCAAAATACCCAGCAATATCGCTGAAGATATCCCATCCCACCTCATGTTTGGTATCTTAATGCTACAGCTTCATTGAGATTGCTACATAAAGCTGAAAAGAGGTGTGTTATTTTAGCAGTATATCAGTAATATTGAAATTTAAGCCTTTTATTCCGATAATTAGATCTTATTTAAACTTTCACTTAAATTATGACATCAATGTTCAAATCAAACACATTAAAATTGAACAAAGTGAAATTAAAACATCGAAATATAAAATTTTAGCCATGAAATTTTTAAATAAATTTTCAATACAGCCAAAAATAACTCCCCAGACCCCTAAAAAAGTAAAGAAGAGCTGGCTCTTGTCGAAAATAACATTCCCCAAAAGGCAAATAGAAGAGACTATTGAATCACAATCGTTCTTTGCATATTAACCATGATTCCCTCTTCAAACAGCGTCTAATCAAATTAAACATATACAAAAAATATAAAACTGTATTGAACTAAACTTCGAGTGCACTTCAATTGACCCAAATTAATTAATAAAGCAACCCGGATATTATTCATGTCAATCAAAACAATAAAATACCTTTTCAGATAATTTGTTATCTAAATTTCCATTTTAACTTCAATCTAAAATTAAAAACCCTGCAGCTATTCGCAAAACAACTATCAAATTCGATGTTATCGTGTTCAAGTGCTTTTCCGGAACCCACTTTATTCAATTTTTCTGAAAAACGTAGAAAAAGCGGAATGCCAAGAAGTTTTGGCGAACCTGTGGTTTCGTTCTAGGACTAAAATATATGTGTGAGGTTAGCCGTTTTTTGGTGAACCGTGCTAACGGTTGTTATAACATATACATTCAAAGATACATTATACATATTTTAACTTCAACGCTTATTTCACTACAGCTTTGCCACCTTTACCATGAATCTCAATGAACTGCCAAATTCGAAACTCAACGAATTTTCCAAAGGCAAGGGGAATTGGGTGTAAGTGTTATTAATACGATTATGTTAAAAAGTAAACGTATGTTTTAGTATTGTTTTAATAAAGTTATTTTATGACCTTGCAAATTCATTGTTGTAGAATTGATGAAGATTCAACACAAAGTTTCCATTCTTATCACTCTCAGAACCTTGAACTCAGCAACAAAGCTCGAGTTGTTAGAAGACAATGGGGGTTTCGTGGATTATGTTTTAGTAGAGAACCTGTAGAGCCTTTAAGGCCATATTTGATACACATTGATGAGGTGGAGTTTTGCTGGACAGGACACTTAAGGGTTGGAGTTACCACGGTTAACCCAGAGAGCAAACCAGAACTTGATTCACTGTAAGTTTTTTTAAACATTGTTTGTAATTTTAGAAAATTTTACATTAACGGCAAAGACAACTATACTACGTTAACGTCAAAGGCTACATTACAAAGCTATGTAAACTCAAATTTCAGAGCATCCAGTTCTCAGACGTTATTGGTTGCATTTTCACAAATTTCGTCTACAGTACATGCCGGAGATGTTGTTGGTGTGTATTACGAAGTGGTAAACAACAAATACGTTCAGTTACATATACTAGTAAACGACAAAGATATACCAGTGACAGAGAATCTACTACCGTACACACCAAATGAGAAAGTGTACATTACGGTTGACATTTTTGGTATGACAAAACGAATTACTTTTATCCCAATGAAGCAAACAGGTATGTTTCAATAATATAAAAATTAAATTAGTAAGATTTATATCTATAGTATGGCGTACTTTATTATAGCCATAGTATAGTGTACTTTTTTAATACAATAATTTTATTTCAGTCACCAGGCTATCTTCAATCTGCGAAAAAGCAATCGTATCCACCATGGGCCACATTTCTATAGAAAACTTGCCACTGCCCACTAAAATAAAGTCAAACATAGCATCGTTACGCTCTAAACGCCATTTAATACCAGTGTGAAAATTTTGAATAATTTTATCTATGTACATAACACTTTTATTATTAATTTATAATAAATTTTTATTATCAAAATGACAAAATTTTATATTAAGATATTATTCTGCTGTACAATCTTATTTTTCAGTGTTTTAAAATATGTTAATTAAATCAATAAACTGCAAGTTAAGCGGAAAAAACAGGCGCGCGGTTTTTCTATAACGCTTAGTTTACTGACCCGCGTTAAAAACTCATACAAAGTTTATCCGTATGTTCAGCGATAGTTGAGGCTTTATTTTTCGTCGTGTCTAACCTCTTTTCTAAAAAATCCGCTTTCTTAAAATATTTTCTTTTTGGTTTTAAAATCGTTTTATAGATATTATGGTTTAATGAAGTGATGTTGTTTTTTATTTCATTCCTTCATTTTTGACATTATTTTTTATACATTTATTTCAGATGTCACCAGATGAAACTTTTGTCTTCGCTAATTCCGCATGCTGGGAAGACGACTATGTTCCGGATCCAACATATGAAACGCTTGTATTTTAAAATACATATGTAAGTGAGGACGAATACGACAGTGACGATGAGTACACAAAATGGGCTAAACGGCAAGAAAATGCAAAGCAACTCAAGAGAAGAAGCAAACGCACAAAAGAATTAAGGTAATATTTTAAAATGTTTATTTAAATTTTAGGTTAATGTATTTAATTAAACGTAACGAAGAAAAAACTGTTTACAAAACCTTAAGCCAAATAATAAATATGATAATTACAGAACGTCTCAGAGCTTTGCATCAACGTCAAATAACTCAGCATTCAACTGGTACGTTGATGCATACAAAGCCGATGCTGAGCACCACACGTACGACAACAGCGTTCTGACCATTGATTTCTCTTTTGGTTACAATAACTGCGTTGTGTATGTTCCCAAAAAAAGAGGAATTATGAAAGCTTGTAGAATAATTGAAAAATTACGGATGGACAAAAACCAATTATTTACAAGCTTAAACAACATATTGCTGGAATTTTGTGAAAAGTAAGTAAAAATTAAAATAACTAATATCAGATCTTTATTAAAAAACCTTTATAACCACCGGATAACATGGCTTTACCCATTCAATTTCAGAAACCTACTTTCCCAAGAAAGGTTCAAAGAATTCGAATTAATCTTGGCGGATGTCGAAGCGCAATTGAAACAAGCGTTTCCAAACTGGCAAGTCGAGGCCTACGGTGGTTCCCATAACGGCTTTGGGTTAAACTCAAGTGACATTGATTTAACAATTATTAGACCAAAAACGTAAGTTAATTTTTAAAATTGTTCATACAATAATAATATCGTAGTCTTTAAATAAACTTTAATCAGGAAAAAATAGTAATCGTTATATTATGTTACAGAGAAAAACAGTGTCTCACGGTTGACGATGTTGAAAGAGTGCTCTGTACAGAAGAGAATCAACGGAAAAATTTGAAATCTTTTGAAAACTTGTTAGAGAAAAATGTAAGTTTAGTTTTTTATTTTTACTTAACAATATTCAGAATCATCATCGTATTTATTTTGTATTTTAAGGTGCCGTTGCTCAAATTAAAATATGGAGGTGTGAAAAACGACATTGAAGTAGATTTCACAGTAAACAACTACAAAGGCGTACTAAACACAAAACTGTTGCAAATCTTTTCCAGGTAACTATTACGTTCATATTTTGAATATTATTTAATTATCTTTCAATGTTACCCATTTCCAAAAATATTTTATACATCATCTCATTTGCACTTTACAGAATCGACCCGCGAGTGTCCCAACTCCATGTGATAATTAAACAGTGGGCCAAAAGCAACAGTCTCCACGGAGGCCCAGAATACAAGTTTAACACCTACAGTTTGGCATTATTGGTCATCAACTACCTTCAAAAAGTTGTCACACCCCCAATAATGTATATCAAATGACATTTGAGTTCAGGAAGAAGTTAGAAAACCTTGATGTCAACAAATATATAAAAGAACTTAACTTCGGCAAGTTGTTACAAATAAAAAATGTCTTTACTCCCGCAATAAAAACACAGTTTTTGTCGACTCTTTTTATAAAATAGCCAACTTTTATTAACTCTTCATCGATAAAAAAAATATAAAACAATCTGTTTTTAGATTCATCAAAGCAGAAAATGACCTTGCCCGAACTTGTAATAGGGTTCATGTCATATTATGCTATGTATGATTTCAACGAATGGCATATTGACGTTAGGAGGAAAGAGCTACGCAATCGAAACGAAGTCACGACAGTTGGGTACCAAAACGAAGGAGTACGGTTGAGCATTGAGTGTCCTGTGAATGGAAAGTGTCCAACACGGAATGTCACAAAAGAATGTTATAAAGCTTTCAGAAAAGCTATCAACCACTTCAACTCGTTAATATGGAAGCAGGTAGCCAAGGAAAAGGAGAAAGATGAGTTTTTTGACGCTATTGTTAATATGCTGGGAATTAACAAGAAATTGTAGAATGTTGTCTAGTACTTGAATTACTATTGTTTTTATAGTACGTATTAATTATGTCATTCTTATTTAGGAGTAGCTCTTTATGCCCTGTAGATGTTATTAGAGTTTTATCTATATTACACTTTTAATTATACTGTGCTTTAAATCATAACAATTACGAGTCATTCATGTACTTTACTATTCCGCATTTTTTCTATTATGATATGATCAAAGGTTTTACTATAAGTCTTTCAAACTGTTCGTGTTTTAAACCGTTTTCTATTGTAAATATTTAAAACATTCCTACGATGTAATTTAAATACTGTACCTCGTTAATAATCTAGCCTTCTACAATATAAGAAACGAAAACTGGTGAATTCTACATTTAATAAACTGCCTGTAACCAATTTCATAACTGCTTTTATTGCCTAAGTGAATTCAACATAATACCTCGTGTAAGATCGTGATCATTATTGAAATGTGACGGTAGATGTAAAAATGCAAAGATATTTGTGATATGTTGAGGTAATATAAATAATTGTGTAGTTAAATATGTGCATATGATGACCGTATAGCTACGTTAGCAATGTATCACAGTAATATGCTTTGACTGTGCAACCGAATGAAAGATAAGAGTGGATATGACAATCATATGCTAATTGTAGACCTATGTGATTTTCAAACTATCATATAGTGACGAATGGTCTTCAAGATAGCTAAATTTTGATTCGCTGTAGAAGCTAAGCCCTATAGCTATACATAAAGCAATTTTCAAAAACTCTATACAGTATTGAATACGAAAACTTTTAAAGACTACCTCATAACTTAAAGTAAACTACAGCGCCTCCTTGAATATATTTTGTTGCGACACATCGAATGGTCGAGCACTAGGTGGTCGACTTCGTAACAACGCTGATTCCGTCCCTTCTTCCGCTTCATCGCTCAAATCATTTAGCTTTTTTACTGATAACGAGTAGGGCTTTGAAACCAGACCATCTGGTACTGGTGGGGCATCAAATCGACCTCTTGTGCCCTAAAGTATTGGTCAGCAAAGATCGAAAATAAAATGCAAAATCCTTTAAAAATATTCAAAAATAGTCATAAATTCAGCGTTTTTAGAAAGGCGTGAAGTTATTATAATCCCTCATCAAAAGACGTTATAACTATAAGTACTAAATAACAACTTACAAGTTTGCTCCTGTAGTAAAAGAATGTTCCAAATACGATCACACTGACAAAAGCGATCCCCACAATACCCATAGCATGTTTGTAATGTTCATGTTTTGTTAATTTGCCCATCAATCTGCTCTCCAACGCCTTCTTCTCCATTTCCGCCGCTTCCGACTTCTTCATTATCGTACACTTATGATAATTGGCAAGTGTCCTAAAGTAGGGACATCCAACTGATGGACAAAAGTAGGCTTCTTGCGACAATACCGTGTTCGAAAGATTGTACTTTGAGCCAGCGATAAGACGATTCCACAGCCATTTTGTCGCATAATTGTGACCACGACGATTGAGTAAAGGTTTGTTGGGAATGAAGAGTGAGTACGGGTAACGAGAAGTGACTGTAAGCATGGGTAAGGTGAGTACTCCAAAGTTTTTGTTTTGAATAGCGGTAGCGTGTTCGGCGACTGTAGCAAACGACTCAATCCATTCATTGCTTAAATCTTCCATAAATTCGTTCGATTCGTCTTTTGAGCAAGCACATCGTGTTCTGAATTAAAATTCATGGTTATTTTGGAAAATAATTGGGTAAATAATGTCATAAAGACCAAAAATGAAAATTTGAAATTTAAGTTATTCTTTACAAATCAAATTAAGAAAAACCAAAAAATTTTTTATACATTTGTAAGCAGCTCAAACGTCCTATAAAGCATAGTAAAATCTTCAAAAAAATAAAATAACATACTTTAACAAATTAGCCTTTTGATGATAAGATGAAGATACGTGAATAGGTCCTAGCAGTATAACAAAAGCTTTATATATTCCTGCTTTTAGTATGCCCAATGCTTTCGTCAATGCTTCTGTATCTGGTGCTGAACAGTTCGAACATACCTATAACCGTTTGTTTACCTTTTAAAAAAGAGTTAAACCCAAATTTTAAAACCTTCTATTAAATTTTAAAAATAATACTGTGCCCCTTCTCAAAAAAAAATTTCAAGATCAAGAAGCACAGAATTATTTGAATAACCTAATCTGCATAAAAATCTTATAACCTTCATCCAGAAAAACCAAAAATACCCGCCCCATTCCCAAAGTGACCTCTTTTACCCTGACTACACCAAATCTTACCTCCTCCGTTCCAATAGTAATAATGACCATTGCCCAAGTATTATACAGATCCACATCCTTTAACATTCTTATCCTCTTCACCAACTCCTTGGCTTGTTTCGGCATCGACGCTGTTGTCGCTCCCCCTTCAGCGACGTTCAACTGATGACTTGGCAATTCAAAAACACCACCCATGCCGTGGGACACACCGTGAAGATTGTCTTCCGATGTGAATTCACGGAGAATATTGGGAATCGTGATAAGACCATCAATTGTCGCATCGCCGCCAATCGGGAAGGCTGCACCTCGAAAGTCAATGTCGGTTCTTGGCCATAAGCCTCGGCCGGTCTGAAGAATAATAATTTTTAAAAATTATATAGTGGGAAGAGGTGGGTGATTTTTTGGCCTAACATAATGTCCTACATAGAAATGGTACACTTTTTATAATTTATTTCAAGTTTTCAGTTTCCAGTTTTTAAAAAATTTAAAAAAAAATCTCCTATACCCTAAAGTAAATAATATTTTCATGCTTTATGCTTCTGGCCCTTCTCTTTTTTCCTTTTAATCCATTGTGTCACGGCTTTTTGCCAAATTTTCTTTCTTCAAGCTGCAAAAACAAAATGGGCTTTTGAACTTTTTTCCCGATTTTTTGTGTTTTAATTGATGGGTCAGCAGATTTATTTGGTCATTTTCGATAGACAAAGGTCTGATCAAAGGGCAGATATACTTTAAATTGGCCCGAACTTTGTTTCCGATCGAAAAGTGCGAGCGAAAGGTCAATTTACAAAATTTATAATAAGGTTTGACATTTCTTGGCATTTCAAAGTCAAAAGTATCACAAAAAATATAACATTTAAGCAACAGTTTTACTGATATACACAGTAAAATTGAATTAAAGATCAGTAATATTGTCTTTGAGTAAGATTGCCTTTTTGACGTGAGTAATATTGTCTTTAGTACGCCAACAAACTTGTTACTTTTCAAAATATAGGTGATTCGAAAAACAATTTTATAAACCTAAAATTTTAGGTTTATTAGCCAAAAACTTACAGCTAAAGAATCTCCCATCGCTGCAATTATTCCAATGTCCTCAGGGCTTAAATCAGCGGTCGATTTTCCAGTAACAAACTCGGCTTTGATCTTTGGACAAGTAAAAGACTTTCTAAACATAAACTTTGGTTAAGTAATAAAATTTTTAAGTAATTATATTTGTTGTTACCTAAACTATATTTTATACCCAGTATGTACTAAACATCATTATTTTTTACCTAAAAATTTTAAAATTTGGCTAAAAACACCTCACCTATTGTTAAAAGAGCTGGAGATGATGGATATCGTTTCTTCTGGTCGATCATGATCTCCTTGTAGCTTAACTGGTGTCAAATCAGAGTTTATAAAGTCCTCAGGGTTCCTTTCTTCGCTTACTTCACTGTCCCCTTTATCTTCTTGTTCTAAATCACACATTACCTTGATTTCGATTTTTATTCATTGATTAGGTTTAAAGAATCCATTATAATATTCCAAATTTAGCATTGTACCATATTTATAGTGTTTTTTGTTCTAAATACGCATAAAATAAAAATATTAAGTTACCATGGGAATCACCTTCATCATCAAATGAGCCTTGACCATGATCTTCTTCTGATGAATCTGTCTCGTTTAACACTGAAACATGTTTATATTAATATTCTTACAACTTTTCGTGTTTAAAACTTATTATCTGTCAATATTAAAAATGAAGGCTTACAGAAGTTATTTCAAACGTTTAAAGTGTAAAATGCGACTTTAAGTAAACTAAAAAACTTTTTAAAAGGCCAAAAAACTGTAATGTTACCTTTTAGTTCATGTTTGTGTTGGACCTTTGCAAAAACAATATTAAAAATGATTAATATCCATAACACTACAATGAGTCGCATCACGATACCCGCATCGCTTTCTAAAAGTTTAAACAATGATAAGGTTTCTTCCTGAAAAAAGGCGCTTAAACACAAAGATAATATTGATTTTCGGCTCGAGAATCACCTGTTGAAAGCGAAAAAGGCGGACTGTCAATCTTTTATTTACAAACTGTCGCAAGGTTAATATTACAAAGAAAGAAATATTTTAAATCAGAGAATGTAGTTTAAATTAAAATATGTAGCAATAATAAGCTGTTTCAATGTCTTAAACATAAGAAGATTCGAATTTACAATACAAGTTTAGGTCCAAAAGAATAAAATCTGATGTATATGCAGTGTTTAACTTAGAATTCATAAACATCAGCATCTAGACAATGTAAACAAAGTTTAAACCAAGCCCAATAAACAAATAGCTCCACTGGGAATAAACCTTAACCATATTACCCACAATATAGTAAGTAATTAGGGCAAATTAGCAAATCAAGCCGGCAAGGCCAAGATAACATAAAACTCTATAGAAACTATTGTATAACATAATCTAAAGTGAAAATTTATAAAAAAATATTATCATAAATTTTAATGAGAAGTCAAGTCCTCAATATCAATGACATCATCCATAATGTCTTCAACAGCGTCTCCCACACCGTCGTCCTTTTCAGTAACATCTTCTGTCACTTCTAGGACATTGACCGGATTCAAATCGCCAGTTGGAAGCACGTTTTCATCATTATCTCCATTTTCTGCAAACTCCAGTAATTGCTGATTCTTTGGTTTTCTTCCCGGCTTTGTATTATAATGCCTCTGCTCTGGTTCAGGCCAATCGTCCAACGCATCTTCCAGAAAAACGTAGTGACGGTTGTTGCCTTGCACCATTTCTAAAAAGTAAAATTCTGCAATACATACACTTCTATATCTCGACCATTACCATAAAAACTCTCAGTAAATCTTAATAAAAGTTATTGTAAAAAACTGTTACCTAAAATAAGAAACAAATAATTAGGGAAACATACCTATATCCTTTAATTGAATCGTTTTCCTGCCCGCATCTCGTGTGAATCTTGTCGTTTCCTTCACAAAGCATCGTAGAAACTGTTCCTAAAATTAAAACTATCAAAAACACATCAAAATTAACTTACTGAAGCCAATCGAATCATTTTAGCCGCATCATTGCTAATCGCATGAACTTCTGGATGTAATTTCAAAATGTTTTTGATCTTTGCCAAAGGTAAAACTGGATCCAAGGTTACATTTAACTCTTCTTGTTGTTCTTCAGCCATTTTTTGACTAAAACAGGTAGAATATATCAGATTTTCGAAGAATTTATCAATTTTTCGCAAAAAAAAAGAAAATATTATTTTTGAACGAATTTTTCGCGCCAAAAACAAAACCTTGTCGGGATGACTTATTTTCTGTAATCACTGGAATATTTTTTGCATGTTCGTTGTGCACTTTTATTTTGTCATTTGTGTTGTATTGTTGATTTTTAAAACTATTTTGTTGATAAATTTCACTAATGGGAAGTAAAAAGAATAGGGATCGAAGGACAAAGTTGTTCTTTGCGATGAAAAAGGCTGAAAGGTACGTTAATTTTGGGTAATAATTGTAAAATACGCAGACTTTCACTTTAAAGAAACTATGAATTTTGTAAATTTAATATAATTAATACTGTTTTAACAGAAAAAACAACTGTTGATTAGGTTTTGCGACAAAATTCGTTGATTTTTTGAATATTAATGTATCCCAACAGTAATTTAGTTGTAACTCAAAAAAGGGCAGTCCAAACTGTCTAAAATTGACCGAAATGTGCTCAGTATCATCATTGTTTACTCAAGATTAGTTTTTCTTATTTATATGTGAGTTTAGCATTTGGGCGACAAAGAATTATTAGGTATGCATGGGTGCAACTATCGTAATATAAATTATACGAATTTGCTCGCTCATAACTAAATGATGGTTGCAAGTAATTTTCCTAGCTTGTTAAAAACTTTATTTATATGTAAAAAACTTTTAGTTTTTGAAAATTTAAGTTCAAAATTTTGAAATTGAAATTTTTAAAGTTGTGATGCATTTTCTTTCTCATTATGAATATCTCAAAAATGTTTGATAATTTTATAAAATACGTAGCGAACTGTTAGACTTCATAGCGACAACAATTGCAACCTAACCAAGACAATCTCAAAAAACATTTGGCGATCAATTAAATTTTTTGTAAAATTAACCTTGTTTTGATGCATTTATGGTGTTTACAATACAACACCGAGTCGCCGGGATGCAAGAGCTCTTTCTTCGCATTCGCCGTCCCGCGTCCCATCGTTGTTTGCCCGCAGGCACAAACTTTGCAGGCGGCTCTCCCCCTTCTCCGCACACTCTAATGCACGGTGCAAAGAGACAGCCGGGGCGAGGCTTTGGCGACCGACCTGAATGAGAGTCGGGGAGGGTGGCGAGGCGTCGAATCGGGATGCGGGTTTTTGCGCACCGTGCGCCTCGAATGTTTGTGCTCGCATTCACGGTCTTGGTTTTCCGTTTTGCACGGTGCAATCGAGTTTTGATTGGTTGTTTGTGGCTCGAGGGCTTACGAAATTTTGTGGATTAGGAAAGGAAAACGGTTTAAAAATTATGGTGGTGATTAAGGGTTTGTATGCATCTTGTGCTGAAGGTTAGAAGAGGGATATACGTTGTTGCACTTTTATTTTTTGTTTTTTTTTGTATTTGAAGTTTTAAGGCTTAAAATCCTTAGGCAAAAGTCCTTTGCACTTTAATTTTTTAATCAAAAGTGAAATTTCCTGAAGGCATTAAAATGAATTTTGTTACAAACATAATTTTAAAGGCTTCTGCGGTTATAAAGCAACTTAAAGACGATTCATACGTCAGACGTTGCGACCTTCCGAATTTAATGCACTTAAAATAAAAAAGATTTGCAATAAAGGACTTGTCGCTTGTCACCCTCTTCCTCGTGCACTCCAACTCTGTTTATTTTTGATTGCATCGTGCGTCGCCTCTTTTTGCGACAACATATGCGTCGTCCCTTTCTGCGACAACAAATGCGTCGTCTTTCTCAAATTGTGCGACGAAAATACGTCGTTCCTTCTAAATTTTGCGACAACAATGAATCGGAGCATCTGAAGAGCGCACTCGCACTCCATTCAACCAGAAGCGAGTGCACGGTGCGCGCGACGCGTGAACACAAATCAGAAGAAGAGAGTTGTTTTCTTCCCGATTTTGTCATCGTCGGGCCTTGAATGCACTTCTCGTTTTTGTTTTTTGTTGCTTCGACTTTGTTTTTCGACAAAAAAAGACTGCGACGGTCCGGCTATTTGCATTGATTTTTGGGGTTGGGGTGGGTTTGCAAAATGCATTTTTTGTTGTTGTTTTGAGCTGAAATGGAGTTGCAAATTGCATTTTCATCTTACATTTTACTTTGCAATGTGCAGTTACTTCACCTCTTAAGTGCACATTCAATTGTCTTCGATTGTCGCGCCTTCTTTCCCCAATTCCATCCACAAATGCACACTCAACTTCTTCATTTTCCACGTTTTTTGGGCGCTTTCTTGTCGCAAATTGAATGAACTGGCGAGTGGAATGTGCGACGAGAGTGCACTTTTGCTCGCCAGCCGGCTGTCCCCATTCCTGCACGCACAATCGTCGTCGCTCGTCGAGATGGCAGTGCACTCTTTTTTTTCTGGTCGGAGCGATGGGAATGGGGTCGTTTCTTCAGTGCATCAGAGAGAAGGTGCAGTCCGGAGGGGGCGCAGGCGACACCCGCCCTCAGGATTTGTCATCGCACAGTGCGTTCTGCTTTTGTTTTTTTTGTCGTTGTGTGACGTCGGCTGGGAAGTTTATGCACCTTGCCGTTTTTGTTTTTTCCTTCCGGTCTTTCAATGCACCGTGCGCTTGTTTTTCCGGGCACTGCACCGTGCAGTTGGTTTGGCGTTTTGTGGATTTTTATTGCACGGTGCGGTCTTTAGGTTTTGTTTACTTTGCATTTTTATAGTGTGATTTTTAAAAATTTTTTATCATTTAAAATTTTGTCGCTGCTACCTTAATTTGTCCAAAAAAAAGGTTATTTATCTGCACGGTGCAGTGGAAAATTGCGCCCTTTCCAACCCTCTGCACTGTGCAGAACACTCTTGAGAAGAAAAACTGCACAGTGCAATGTCCACAAGCTCTGCACTGTGCAGTTGTTGCAGAAATCACCCATTTGCGACATCCGAAAAAAATTGTCGCAAACATTCCATTGAACACAGTGCAAAATCAAAAAGCGACAAAAATGCTTGTCGCAGGAGTTTGGAATGTGCGACAGCTTTTGATGTCGCAAGGTGAAAACAAATGTCGCTCGATTTCTCAGTCTTTGCGACTCGACAATTTCTTGCAAATGCTGTCGCAAAAGCTGTTGTCGCAGCTTTATGCCACTCAAATGCAGTCAACTTTTGTCGCAATTTCCGTTTTTTCATTTGGCGCAATTCGCTGTCATCTTTTTGTCGCAGCTCCACTTTCTCAAATGTCGCCAACTTTTGTCGCAACTTTATTCCACTCACTTGTCGCCAACTGCTTTTGTCGCAAGTTCGTTTCTGTCGCGTCGCTTCATCGTTTCGTCTCGGAATTGTGGACTTTTGCACGGTGCGAGTTGAGCGACGCCGCACTTTGCGATCTTTCTCCCTGTCGCCACCTTGAGATTGTTTTGTCAAATTGAATGCACCCTGCAATTCCTCTCGCGGTTCGTCATCTCTCCTCTTCCAATGCACTCTCTTCTTTTTCGCCGCACCGTGCATTCTCTTCGTTTCGGAGCGCACGGTGCAGCGCCTTTTATGCCTTGCACCGTGCATATTCTTTGGGAATTGTGGTTTGTTTTCGAGGTGTTTTCACGCCGAAAATGGACAAGTTTTGGAGCGATTTGAAGGAAATTGATTTCAAATTGTTGTCGAGGGGTTTGTTGTTGTTCTAGGCTTTAATTAGGGGTTTTTAATTGATTGCACTGTGCGGTTTTAAAAGAATTGGAAACTGCACAGTGCAGCAAACTTTATAGCTTAAAGAATGACATATCCTTTATGGTTTTAGGAAAGATATGATTACTATAATATTTTTTGATAAAATAGTTTTTTTAAAATGATATTTTACGTGTTTTGCGATAATATGTCAATTTAAATTGGCAATTTTTTTAAGATTGCACGGTGCAAACTTTTTTGAAAAAAGTTTTTATTTAATAATGTTAAGGAAAGTTTTTGGTACAATAAATGGGTAAAATACGTGACGGGCAGTATATATGTTTTACGCCTATTATACAAAAATTTACTGAGTTAAACGACTAACTTTTCAAATTTCAGGGAGATGCACCGCCCAACCCTCAGGGCAAAGGATCGCGTTTATTCGCGACGGCTGGCGTTAGCCCGGGCCGTGCAACGTCGCAAGAACCTCCTATTTCACGACGGCGACGAAGGTGGGCCGAATCGTCAGGCAGCGCGACAAAAGGCGTGGGAGGACGTGAAGTTGGAGTTGGTCAGCAAGGGGTTCGTCGAGTTCGCGAGCAAAAGCCAAATGGACATTCGCAAAACGGACTGGCAACATGTCAGGCGATATGTGATGGACAAGCGGAAACGAGAAGCTCACACCGGCATCATCGAGGAGCCCATTACTGAGGTGAGGGTTGAGTTTGGGTCTAGGGGGAGGTTTCTTGGTTGTTAGTACAATATGTACGTGTAATAGACATCATGTGGAGTCTTAATGGTTGATAGTAAAATATTAGGTTTTTCAAATTATTCTGTGCCTATTAGCTATAAAAATTTGTTTTAAAGTGGGGCACAGCATTATTTAAACGACCTAATATACATCATGCAAGGTCTTTAAAAGTCATTTTTAAAACTGCCATAACTTATGAACTAGTTATCAAAAATTGGTTTAAATTTTTGTATAATGTCAGAAATATCAGTCTTTCCCGAAAAGAATGTTACAAAACTGCACAGTGCAATTTGAAGGAATCGCTGTCGCGCCGAGAATTGGGCGACAAGCGACAAGGTCTCCGACAGTCGCTTGCACCCGGCGACGTCCCAATGGGAATCGCAATGTCGTAAGTGCAAAGCTTTGCGACAAACTGTCGTGTCGCGCTTCAAATGGCGATGCGACAATGTGTCGCGGTTGTCGCAACGCTCAAGCCACAACTGTGTTCAATGGAAGGATTGCGACACGTTTTTTGACTGTTGCAAGTCATTGAATCCTGCGACAACCGACCGGTGCGGCACTGAAGGGATTGCACTGTGCAATCTTTCCTCACATCGTTGGCTGTATCGGGTGATCGCGCGGGAAATCTGCACTGTGCAGCGGAATAAAAAGGGCGCGATTTTCTCAGGGACTGCACCGTGCAGCTGTAACATTCTTTAGTGGAAAGACTGATACTATTGCTATCAATTTCACACCAACTTAAAATGCCATTTCCAGCTCGATGAAGTTGTGATGGAGATCGTTGGCGCCGAAGGCCTTCTGAAGGCCTCGACCCCGCTCCTCAACGAATCCATCGCGGATCCGGTGAAGCGGGAAGAAACTCGATCCATTAATGGCCACGAGATCTCTTCTTCCGGCCTTCACGACGTGGCCAGCTCGGATTCGGCCGACAACGAAGCCAGCGACAATCTGCTCGAGGGTCGGCTCAACTCCGCCAATATCTTGTTCCCTCAGTTGTTGCAGGTAAGAGGGGCAGTTTAAAGTACTGTATTTATTATTTGGTTGAGGTTTTGAAAATCTGAGCTTTCGAGAAATTTAAAATTTTTGAAATGAAAAAACGTATTGACTTTTATATTAATGTTGACATAGATACAAAGTGCTATTTCAATGTTTTTTAAAGCAAAACATCTAATTTATACGATTTTTAAAAGACTTTAAAGCTCTATTGTAGTCTTTAACTGGTGCTTTTGTTTAAAATTTAAATATTTAAATTTCCCGCCAATTTGGGAAACTTTGGCATTGTGTTTCAAGCACTTTTTTTGACTTTCCAAACAAGCTAGGCTTACAAATTAAAAAATTTAAGTTGATTTAGAAGGTTTTCTACTAGTATATCAAAGAAAAATGATTAAAAGTCAAAAAATGACAAATTTGTAAGCTTGAAACACAATGCCAATTTGGCGGGAATTTCAAAACTTAATGTTTTGATCTCGATTCTTTCGAGATTTCCTGGAAAACGCTTTAGTACTGTCTGTGTGAATATTATTTATACAAAAATAATCTAATTTTTCCACAATAGCAACCCCAATTTTGTACATATTGGTACTAACGACCTTGTTTTAGTCATTCCAAGACTCGCCCTCCTTTGTGAATCAGCTCAACTTCAATCAGGCGTCGGATGATCGTGACTTTGAAAACAGAATCCGAGAGTATCGAGTACAACGGGAGGAGTATCAGACGATGACAGAGAAGATACGAAACGAGATCGAAGCCGAGCGATTGATCCAGGAGAAGATCAGGACAAAGCTGTTGATGAATGAGTTGGCCAAAACTGACCCCGCCTCTCTCAATGAGTTAATGAAAAACGGGCAAAAGGAGTCTTAGATACTATAATTTTTATTTTCATTGATACTGTAATTTTTATTGTCAAAGATACTGTAGTTTTTAAGTGATAGATACTGTAATTTGTATAGTTAAGATTAATTTTAAAGGTAATTATAACTTTAGTGACTACAGTACCTTCTCGCAATACGGTAGTTTTTTCTTTTAGAATCTCCAAAGAATTTTATTTATATTGTTAAGCCTAAGAATCTTAAGCCTAAGAATCTAAAACTTGAAGACTTTTGTAGCTAATAACTTATTATGAAACAGTAGCCTGGTTTGTATCTATATTGTATGTCCTTGGCCTGGTTTGTATCTAAAATTGTATGTTCTTTCATCCCATGCATCTTTCAAAAGTGTTTGGAGTTTATTCCCCGGTATTTCCACAATAATCCAAGAATCCGTGATATTGTCTTTGTTCTTAGGGTCTTTTCAAGAGTTTTATGTTTTCTTATTGATATGTACATATTAAAATAATAAAATTTTAAAAATTAAGACGGTTTGTTGGCTTAAAAATGTCATGGATTGGGTTATAATGGGATAAAATTGTGGAAAAACCATAAATTTTTATTAAAAAAGACGCATTTTTGTCAATTTTAACACAATATTACTCAAAAAACACAGTTAAAAATATGTGTTATGATGTGAAAAGTAATGCAAACTCCAAACAGTAATTGTTCCGACTTGAAAAAGTCAAAAAATTTCTGCAGGAAGTGGGATTCGAACCCACGCATCGATAACGATACTAGAAGGCTCCGAACCGTCGTTTCCGACGAAGCGTTTCGCTTGAGTCTAGCGCCTTAGACCACTCGGCCATCCCTGCACGGCTTGTTCTTCTCTTCTTTTTCTATTTACTTCGAATGGGAAAAGACTTTTGAAAGAAATAAAGACTTTTTGAATTTGAAAAGTGATTTTTACAAAGAGAACAATAATCAAAAGGGAAAACAAGACAATAAAAAATATGCCCAAAATCATAGAAAATTGAATTTGCAGTATGTAGTACTGAACTAGCATCTTCGCATTTTGGTGTAAATGCTTATGGAACTTGTGAGTTTGTTAATTTTTTACGTTTTAAATCTAGTACTTGATAAATAAATTTTCAAAGATTTTAAAAGTAATGAAAAGACAGTTTTAGTAAGTTTTAAAAGTTAATTTTCGAAAAGTTGGCTAGATTTTAAACTGTAAAGTATTGTTTTAGAGTCTTCGTTATTCCGTCGATCTAGTTTGTTGAAGAAAAATACAGATGCAATGAACAGAGATCTTCATTCAAAAGTAAGTTAATATTTCTTTTTTGCAATTTACATTTTTAAATATGTAAACTTTGAAAACTGGAAGTTTTGCACAGTGACATTTATGTTTGGAAAAGTTTAAGGAAAAGTAATTTTAATCTTTCCTTGTTAGTTATGGGATGTAGAACATAGACCTTGTGGTTCGTGTGCACAAAGTGACAAATCAAAAAATAAAAAACATATAACGTTATTACTTTACTGATCTTTACAATAATAGTTTAAAAAACGATGACAAAAACTTTTTTTTTGAAATTTTCAAACTTAAAAATTTAGAAAAATTAACTAAAAGTCAATATTATTAGGTAATACAACGTAAATCAAGTGTTTCTTTGCCATATTGATATAAAAGCGTATCATCAAAACACACTTAACATGTTGTAGTTTGTGACAATCAATTAGAGAATGATCAACACATAAATCGTGTTTTCTTTTTTGGTAAAAAGGTTTTCCCACTCCTTTACGTTATTTCATTTTTGCGACGAAATGGAAGTTGGGAATTTGAATTCGTATGAAACGCCATGTGCTGTTTGTAATACGACCCCGGCTTCTTCACATTTTGGTGTTAATGCTTGTCGACCCTGTGAGTTTTTCAATTTTTTATTATTAATGTTTTTAAAATTTTAATTATTTTTGTTTTGAAGTTTTTTGAAATTTAAAAAAGGAGCTTTTGGTAAATTTGAAAGAGTAATTCTAACGTTGTTGATGTTAATAATGATGATTTAGGTGCTGCCTTCTTCCGTCGATCAATAGTGCTGAAGAAAAAGTACAAATGTAAATACGGACAAAAATGTAAATTTACCAGTAAGTTAGTTTATTACATTTGACATTTAGATCTTTACAATGCTTGTAGTACTAGTAAACGATTTGAAATTTTAGGTAACAGAAAGATGTGTGGGTACTGTAGGTTCGAACGATGTTATGCCGTTGGAATGGAAGCTTCAAGTAAGTTGGGTATTAGCTTAGTTCTTAGTTTGGGCATTGACCATTTTTTTAGTCCACAAGTAGCGGCCATCGATTTTACTGGGCTGTGCAGACCAGGCTGGGCATAAAAAATTGTCTGGACGGTCGAAGCAAAACACTTTTAGTGGCTACTTACGGGTTAAACTTTTTTTTTGAATTTTTTTTAGAAATTAGATACGCCTACGATAAGCACGGTCCAAAACTTCCTAAAAAACCGTCCGATTCATTGACGAATTCACCGTCGGTGTCGACTGAAAGCGAGGTTTCATCGGAAGAGCTGTTCAACAATGTTGTCGCTGGGTATTCCAAGTTCATAGCTGATACCAAACTATACTACTTTGCTTCAAATCCAGAAAGATTACTTGATAAGGAAGTGACGTTTGTTCAATGCACTTTGGAACAACATACTCGGGTTTCCAAGTCGCTGATCGTGTATTGTTTGGATATGTTAAACAACTTTTATCAGCCGTTTAATGAGTTCGCTGATGAAGCCAAAGTAAGTTGATATTACTGTGCCAATTCAAATAGTTTTTAATTATTAGATTGTTCAACTAATTTTGTGTTCACTAACTTCGAAAACTTGATTTGAGAGGGGGCTCAGAGTTTTTTGAACAACTTGTTACATTGCAGATTAGTAGCTCATAACTTTTTGAACAACGTAATATATTAAATTTTAATATTTAAAATCTATTTATATAAAGAATATTACACTGCCGCCTTTCTTCACGTCTGAATCTAGGTAGTATAAGTACCAAAACATTTCAGAAAAAAGTGCTCCACGAGTACCATCTGTTCTTTACCTTGTTGAGTCAGAACTTCTTGAACACATTATACTTCCTCAATGAACCCAACAAGATGTTTTTACATTTCGGAAGTTATGTCGACGTCACTCATTTTGAAAACTTCTTCTACACTTCTTCGCAATTAGAGTTATGCAAGTAAGAAGCATATATTGAACTATACTTTTAGAACTATGTATTTAAAACTAGGTTTTGTTTTTAAAGAGTAGACTAATTTACTTTTATGTTTTAAAAATGTAAAATTGGAATTTCTAAAATACTTTATTTATAGTTTTAGCACGTTCAATGACACAAATGTCAAGTTTATCAAAGTTTGTAAAAAGTTTTGTAAAATCCAACCAGACCAAGCAGAAATCGCGGTTATGGCTGGAATTTATTTTTGGAGGGAAGGTAAGTGCGGGAAAGCGATATGTTAGGTTGTTCAACTATTTATGTGCTCCTTCATCTTAAAACTGTTCTTTCAAAGGGGGCACAGAATTAATTGAACAACTTTTTTACCAAAACAAGACAGGCCTAGACGGTGCAAGTTTTAGTACACATAGCTTAAGTATGTATCTGTTTTTACCGCGGCTTTCTTTTGTTTTATTATACGCCTACAAGCGATGCAAAAAACTCTACTCAGTAATCATAAATAAAACTTATCCTAATCATAAGGCACTTCTTTTTAGTGAACAACCTCTACCCATCTCTTCAATACGAGTCATACACCGAGAAACTTCAAACCGAGCTCACAAGGCACTGTAGACAAAAGTACGGTGAGCTAACGTACTCAGTTCGAATGTGTAAAGTATTGTCGTTGATGAGAGACTTGGAGGAACTGATGTTGTTCTTGTCGGAGACTATGGCCATTGGGACATTCATGTATGACAATTGGGATGGCAGACATCAAGAACTATTTACGTAACTGTAGTGTAGATTAATATTGATTTGTGTTATCTATACAAATGTATAATTAATATTGATTTATGTCAGAAATTTCTATATATATGTATATATATTATCTATAATGAACATATTTTTGAATTTAAGTTAAAATTTTTAAAAAACTTTGAAAGATGACTCAAGTTCGAATTAAAATTTTGTAAACTATGACAGTTCTTCGTATTTTCTGGTCAATATGATGCTATAAAGTCCAAACTGTTCTATGTTATAGCCAATTTTAAAATCCACACCATGTTCGACTTGATTCAAAATATTTTTTGAAATTATGATACGAACAGACACAAAATGTTAATTTGATTTCCGATATCAGAGAATGTAATTTCATTTTGGTTCCGAACATATCCTATAACATAAAATGGCAGTCGGTTCAAAGGCTTTCTTGTTATTCCTGGATTTATGGCGTCGTAACGGTTACGGATTTGGTTTTACAATCTTGTTTTGTCCTATTCTTGTTGATATTAATATGTGACAAACAATGTGTGAAGGAAGAGGGAAGGGGTTTTATTGTAGGTGTTACAGTACGACGGGATGGCATTTTAATTTTTTTAGTGGGCAAAGCAGGTAGGGTAGGATATGGTAGTGTAGAATAGGGTAGAAAGGCAAGGCAAGTCTTTTTTGTAAAGTCTATACAATACATAAAGTATGATCATATATATGTCCTTTAGGTATGTTATGTTTATTTTAAAAAGTTTAGACCTATTTTTACATACTTTTTCACATGTTGATAACATTATTTGACAAAATACATAAATCTCATGGGTAAAGAATGTCTTATAAAACGTTTTGGCAAAGGCGATGGACACAAGATATACGTACATTTATTTATATAACTTATTTTTTGTAAACATATCATTATATACGTTGACTGCGCGCTTTGGGGCTTTAGAAAATTAATCTTAAACTACCATCACTTTCAATGTAAAATCTTCAAATATTGATCAAAAAGTTTAAATCTTTTAAAATTTTAAAGTCAATTCAAACCTACCCACTCCCACTAAATCACAACACCGTTCCTAATCCGTACTGAATAGAACTTCTAAGTACGTCGCACTCAAAACAAACCCCTCCTTGACCTTTTCGGAACGGAAACGGGCTCTTTTTATCTGGAGCTGCTCAAAAAAACGTGTCATTAATCTCAGCCTGAGGGCGCGAATTTCCTTGTTTTCATATGGAATTGGACTCGAATTCTTTGACATTCACTCTTTTACGGTGTAACGTGCTGGAGAGCATATATTATGCAAAATATATTTGAATTTTTACATAATATGTAGCATATATTAGTCATGGTAAAGGGCGGTAGGAGGTAGAAGAGGGGGTGTTGGAGAGAAAAGGTGGATTGAGTGGGAGGGAAGGGGGGGATGAAAGATAGAGGGGAGGGGGAAGGGGGTGGAACATTAAATTTTTTTTTAAAAATTTTACGTTTTTAACTAAAAATTTAAGCATTTTGTTACTGTAGTTTTTAAACGATGTTTAACGTATTCTTGTGCAAGCTGCGGGTGACAAGTTATACGATGACAATTTATTTTAACGTCTTAAGTTGCTAAATGTTTTTACATCATATTTTACACTCTTTTATACGTAATAAGTTGTTCAAATAATTCTGTGCTCCTAACCCACAAATTTTGCTTTGACAGAGTCACAGAATTAATTGATCAACCTATTATATGTATATATATATATATAGATTACTCTTTGTTGTTACTGCACTCTATAATAATATAAAAAAGGCGGAAGAAACGGGGACGAGTAGAATAAGCATTAGGAAGAGTATCGTGCTGTTGTTAATGGGCTCTCAATGAAACACAGTAAATAGAGATACGACCAGCCATTGTCGCATTAAAACAAAATGAGCTTGGCTAAATGAATTTGCTCAACGAGTCCAATTTTTGGTACTGCCATTTTTAGCAATGGTAGATGGTTTTGAGCACCCTTGCAAATTTTTTTTCAATTTTTTAAAACAGAATATGAAAATTGAAAGTTTAAGCAAATTAATGTTGTTCAAATAATTCTGAGCCTCCTTTTAATGAAAATTGGGGAATTAAGGGGCCATAATTATTTGAACAACCTGGTAAAAAGGGTATTTTAAAGGAACCGTTCATTGAATTTTTTTGAATGAAATTTTTTCGCGGGTTTTCCAATGTTTTCGATTAATTTTTTGAGATTTTTTTTCCAAAAATTATTTTCATTTGATTTATTCCTTACGGACGCGGTTGTATATTTTGAACCCTATTGTGGTTTTCAGTTTATATTTTACTGATTTTACTTTAATATTAATATATATTATTTGTTCTAAACTGTAAAAACATGTTCCTTATCATAATGAAACCATTTTAAAACTTTTAGTTCAGTAAAACTTCTAAAGAATAGTGTAGGTTTTACTTTACTATTGGTTTAAAAATGTCAGGTTTTGTTAGAGAGTAAAAAGCAGTGAATACGACGGCAAAAGTAAGTATTTTCGTGTCTTTTCGTTTTCAGGACTTTAGATCACATAAAGCGAACGCCTAAACCCACATCCACCAACCTCTCCAACTACATGGTCTCATTAATCTTACAATTTTCGTATCTTTAGTAAAATAATATAATTTTTTAATGTCAGAATGTATATTTATCCCCAAATTGGATTGTTTCACCTTCTTGTTGTTAATAAACCTTCCGCAAGGTTAGGTATTGATGGTTTCAAGGTGAAAAAGCCTGGTATCTTGGGGGTTTTGATGTGTTAGCAGTTCGAATAGGTAAGATATTGTCTGTAGAGTAATTTAAGACAAAACAGTAGATAATTAAGATATTTTTAAGCTGCAAAAACACTGAAAATCTAGTATAATATCGCCTATAAAGCTTCAGAGGAAAAAAGGCTTGTGTCTTGGATATTATGATATTTTAGAGGTCTGGATAGGTAAGAAAACCTCAATACGGTTCAAAATATACAACCGCATTCGTAAGAAATAAATTAAATGAAAATAATTTTTGAAAATAAAAATTCTCAAAAAATTAATCGAAAACATTGGAAAACCCGCGAAAAAATTTCATTCAAAAAAATTCAATGAACGGTTTCTTTAAAATTTAAAAAATTTAGAATTAAACCTATAAATTATTAAAATTTTAATCTTGTACTTTAAAAAGGGCACTTTGTCTTCAGCTACTGGTCTGACTTCTTCTCATTCAAAGTTAAGTTAAAAGGCTAAAGTTAATGACACTGAACGGAGGAAATGTAAATGGTCAGTCTTATTATTGTCTTTTTTTTGCGGTTTAAAAACTTATTTTAAATAATTGAAAAAGTGCTTTTAAGAGTGTGTTCTACATTAAGATTTTCACATTAGCATCGTGCAAATCTTTCTTAACTATACCTACAGTGAAATCTAAACCTGTTTGCACTGTGTTGTTTGTTGCCAAAATTAGTACATGTTTACTATAGCGAGTGTTTCTTCTAAAATTTTTAAAATTTATAATACTAAGAATTTAAAATTTTAATATTTCAAGTAAAAAATTTTGAAAAAGCTAGGTTTATTTATGGAAAGAAGCGGTTGTTTTGCGATGAAAGGGTAAGTAAATACGGAATACATAATATATCCTGACGTGTTTTGATCTTGCTGGATTAAAATAGACATCACTTTGTTCTGGGTAATTTGCAGCCTGTCATCGTGACTGTTTTTGTGAAATACGGGTTGTTTACAATAGTATTTGTACCGTATATAAACGTTGGTTTTGGACGTATATCTTAGTATCTTTGGGTATGTTTTAGTATCTTTGGGGTATGTTTAGTAGCTTTTAAAGGTTTGGATATATATGTAGTCTATTACTATATATAATATATATATATATTCAAACCTATAGCATAGTCCCAATAACATTTGTGTTCAGAAATGTAAAGTAAGTTGTAAACAATGTTAGTACTTATCGCCGAATGTCAAAAGTAAAACGAACGTTATAATTTATGAAAATTTTCTTCTGAATTTGTAATTACCGCGTTTATGAATTCCGTTTGCATAATTCTTTTCAAATTTCTTCTCAATTCCGTCTTAAATTTGTAACGAAGCCGGCTTCAGGGTTCAGTTGAAGGTGTAGCAGAAATCTATTTTATGAAAAATGTGTATATATTAGTATTTTATCATTTGTACTATGGCTTTAAAAATAGATTTATGTTGGTTTGTAAGATGTATGTTAGTTTGGCATATAAATACATAAAAAACAGGCGATTTCGGTTTAGACTAAAGTAAAAGATTATTTTTTAACGATTTATCACAGTTTTTGATGTCGTCGATGTATAGTAATGTTGTAACAGTAATTTATGAGTATACCGACCCTTTCAAATCTTGTAATAATATTAAGTTGTTCAAATAAAACTGCGTTCTTTACCCCGAAAATTTGCTTTGATAGGGGGTACAGAATTATTTGAACAACCTATTTTTTTCATTTTTTAAGTAAAGAGTATCTATGAACAACTTTTCTCAAATATTTTTTGTCTTAGCAGGTCCCAAACCTAGTGCTTGAGAGGATCAACATTTAGGTCCTACTTGCGATGGACCTAAACCTAAAAAGTACTAAAAAAGTTATCATTTTAAGCCTTACGGTTTATAGTGTCTAGGTTAGTCGGAATGGTATAAACCAGTTAAAAAACGATATTATTGGATACTGCAAAGCCTTGGTCAAAAATGATCAAGATATACAACTGAACATAATTTTTGGGGTGAAATTTTTACGAATAGGGTATGGCAGGGTAGGCTAGAGTAGGCCAATTTAGGTATTATTGTATATATTTAGAAATTTGGCAATGTTTTTAAAAATAGGAACATACAGTAGAACTCATGTATAACGAATTACTCGGGGATTTTAAATTTGTTGGTTTTGTAAGGTTTTCGTTATAGAGGAGGTAATTATAAAGGAGTACCACTATACGTGGCAAACATAGTAAGTAAAGGCTAACCAATCCACATTTCAATGATCATACTTACTGGATTTTTGTTA